TTTATCACCAACGCCACTGTGTGTGTAAAGGGTTTTATGGTTTGTAGAACACTGTCATAAGATGATCTCACTTGAGTTCCATAATAATTCTAGTAGTAGGCTTGAGAAGAATTATCACTCGCATTTAGAGATGAAGAAGCTGATTCCTGAAATGAAAAGATGATGCTTACGGCTACTTCAATTTTTGTTCTAGGTGTATCATGATACTGACCATGGGGAGATTGATGGCTTTATACTGGATGGGGTATCACTCTGATTATAATGGCTGAAACTGAATTTTTTAAAACATGGAAATCTTCAAATGTGTGAAAATAAAAGCAAGAGTGAAATGAGCCTTTTTGTATTCCCCATCCAACTTCCACAGTCATTAACCTTTTGACAATCTGAATACTTACTTGTTAAGATATGAAGTCCAAATTTGGGAGAAAGGGAACCAGCAGGAAAGGAAGAGGGAACAAGAGCATATAAGGGGGGTAAGTATGACCATGTACATTGTAAGAATGAATTAAAATGTAATTTTATACAATTATGTTATGCAAATACATACATCTATACACACATATGGTGATGGAACCAACTTTGGGAATCAGAGTGCTATGTTTGCAGTGTCTTGGATATAAACCAATATACATTCTGTGTTCAGAAGCCCAAATAATAGCTGAAGCCCCAGAGAACTCTGATTCAGTTTGCTCTAGGCGAAGCTGTTTGTGATGACAGTTCATTTCACCTCAGGTTGTCCTTATGTTCAACCATTGTTACTCCAGTATATAGTACAATGTCCAGGACATAGTAGGTTTTCATAAATACTGCAGAATGATTGCATCATATCAGTAATGCAGACCTGGCAGCAGGCAAAAGCCCTATGCTTTGTGATGTAGCTAACACCACATTGTTTTTTTTAAGCATGCATTTGGAATTTTGTGTGTCTTGGGTCCTATGTGTACTAACGCTTGAGTCCTATTCCAAGTACTGTGTGTTGAGTACCTCATATAACTTTTGAATAACCTCTATGAAAAAGGTACTTCTATAATCTCCTGCATGCTGCATGAAAAAACAACCAGCAAGTTGGTCATGATCATGTAGATTGTAAGTGACAGACCTGGGAATCAAATCCACGCAGTGTGTTCCCAGAATCTGCTCTTAGCCACTTCTCTGTGATTTCTCCAGATGTGTCTACACACCAACCATGGACACTGAACACACTGGGACACTTTGCTAGTGGACAACCACCTTCCACTACTGGATCACTCACCAAGATGTCTCTTTTTTGCAACACTTCCCAAACAATAGGAGGCCAATTACATATGGAACTTTCTTGTTTTCCTTTTTACAGACTTTGCCATTTTCCCAAACACAAGGCATTTCTCTAAGGCTTATTTCAGCAGGATTTGCTGCCAAATTCTGGTCCTGTGGCTATCAAAGAGATATCATTCACTCTGAGACTTCTGAAGGGGATATCAGCCAGGCTAGCAGGCTCTGATCTGTATTCGGAAGGGACACTATCTTCTTAAGGAAGACATGGGAGAGGAAGTGTCATGAATTGTAAATAACATTGTGAGAGAAGACTTGTCTGGAGATGGAGAGCCATTACCTTTCCCAAATCAAGACCTCTCTCCCTCTCCAGATTCAACACTTTCAGAACCAATCTTGGTTTACTTGCTGACTTTGCAAGCAGGAAAAAGTTTAAGTTTCCTCTCCTATCCCTGAAATAAGAGTGCCCTAGATAAATATTTTTGTATCTACATATTTGGAATATTATTTAAAAGAGTTTTAAAAGAATGGGGTGAGCCAAGAGTTCATGCCAGTAAACCTAGCTATTCAGAAGGCTGAGTTCTGAGGATCACCATTGGAAGACAGCCCTGGCAGGAAAGTCCATAAACTTTTACATCCAGTTAACCAGCAAGAGCCAGAAGTGGAGCTGTGGCTCATGTGCTGGAGTGCCAGCCTGTGTGAAACAGCTCAGGGACACCATCCAGGCCTTGAGTTCAAGCTCCAGTACTCATTCTCTCTCTCTGTCTCTCTGTCTTTCTCTCTCTCTCTCTCACACACACACACAGAATGAAAGTGTTGAAAGCTTAAAGTGCTGAAAAGGAATGATATCTAATGTGTACTTTAAAATGAAAGGAGTAGGCTCTCAAACAGCATTTATATCATGTTCCCATTTGTGAAAAGAGGAAGAAAATGTACCCAAATCTGCATGTTCATAAGATTTGCTTGGTAAAAAATAAACAGAAATGCTTGCCTTGAAAATAAACAAGTAAATAAATAACAATTCAAAATTCTTTTATTATCTTTAAGTAGCTTTTACAAAGGATTTGCCATTTAACAAAGCGGTTTATGAATACCATGCATCTTATCAGTATCAGTGTCATTCCCTTTGACATTCTCATACCTTTTCAACCCACCCCTTCCCTTCCTTTTCTCAATTTGGTGTATATACAATGAATTCTTGACTGCATTCTCCTCCACTTCCTTCTTCATTCCTCTATCCCTCACCTTTAGCCCCATCCCTCCTCTTGTATGTACCCATTTCCCAGTGCTGATTTTGTTGGGCTTTAACTTAGTCTTTACAAAAAATTTTACTATTTGAGTTCTCCATAGGGTGTATTATACTTCAGTTAATTCACCTGTAATCACTTGCATGCCACGCAGTGTGTTTACTTGTAGATTTATAGGGACATTCTATCTACCACAAATGAGGGATAAATTTTTTAAAAGCCTGGCACCAACGATGTGGTTTACATCTGTAAACCAGTCTAGGCAGACTGGCTTTGAAGCCAGTCTAGGCAGGAAAGTCCCTGTGAATCTTATTTCCAGTTGACCACCTAAAAGCCAGAAGTGGAGCTGTGGCTCAAGTAGTAGCATCCTAGCCTTGAGTGAAAAGGCTCAGGGACAATATCCAGGTCCTGAGTTCAAGCTCCAGAACCTGCACAAAAGAAGAAAACAAAAGCAAAAGAAATGCTTGCCTCTGCAAAGGAAGACCTGCCCACTTCAAATATTTAACTGTGTACACTTGTTATGTTTCAGGGAGTATTAAAAATATTGTAATAGCCAACTTCTACATATGTAAGAGAAAGAGAAATCACATTAAATATTTTAAATGGAGGAAGAAAAGCAATATGTTAAACTATGTACAATGCATCTAGTTTGGATTAGACAAAAAAAAGAAGGATGGTCTTTTAGGTTGTCATTTGAAAAAGTGAATGGGTGAGGATGATGATGGCTGAAATACATTGTATTGGTAAACTGCTTTTTTGAATGTCAACTCCTTTGTACAATTACTTAATGATTTTTTAAGTTGAAAAATAAAGAACAAATGTATCTGGAGCAGGTACTTGTGGCCCATGAGCCTATAATCTTAGCTGCTCAGAAGGCTGAGTTTGGAGAATCACTGTTGGAAGCCAGAGCAGGAGAATCTGTGAGATGCTTATCTCCAATTAAACACAATCTCTGCTTCCCCCCCCCCCAAAAAAAAAAACAACCACAACAGAATAGAACTATGTCTCAAGTGGTAGAGCACTAGCCTTCAGCAAAAAAAAAAAAAAAAAAAAAACCAAAAAGACATACCTTTGGGACAGCGCCCAGGCTTTGATTTAGTTCAGGTCCTAGGACACACACACACACACACACACACACACACACAGCATCTGGATACACCTGAGAAGTAAAAAACTCATAAAATTAGGGGACATTGGCTGTCACTCTCCAGACGTAAGGAAGAGTGGAGAGTAAATTAGAAGGACCAACCTTGGGTGAAAAGTGATCTGCTTCTTTTTCAACAGCGCTAGATGAAGTCTACATACGCAGAGCACGTTGAGAGGTTTGGTCATCTAGCGTCCTGGGGGCCCTGGGTTTGGGAGCTTTCGCTTCATTGCCTATCCAGTGAAGTCCTGGAGGGTCGACGGCCTCTTTATCCTTGGCTGGTGGTGGGTGTCTTGGCTTGGAGCTCTGCTCTGAAAAGGGACCTGGTGGGTCAGGGTGGGGGTTCCTTGTCCTGAGATGCAGTAGGCAAGCTCTCTTCCTATGATCGTTATTCGGACTACGCTGGCGCTCTCTAGAGACGGCTGTAGCATTTTGGGGCCAGAGTCTGGAAGAAGTCCGAAAACTGAAATGCCTCCAAGGATTCAGGAGATAGCTGCAAAAACACTCAAAAGCTGCCAAGCAGACGAGGAAAGAACAAGAACCTTGGCAACACCACAAGTGGATTTCCTCATTAAAGGCATTCAGAGGGAGGTTTTCCTGTAGCCTACTCCAAAGCACCTGAAAACCAAATCCCCCAGGTTGGGGTCGGGGGGAGGGAGGCTCAAGTCACCGACAGCTTGGGACCCCCTACATCTGGGCCCCAACATTCACGTCTCCCTGTTTGCTCCTGGGATCCTTGCTGGGAGATCCCTGGGACCCGCAGGGCAGCCGACAGGGTTGAGCTCTTTGATGCGCTGGGTGAGGGCACAGTGTCCCTCATTGTACTCCTGGTGACATTCCCCAAGATCTCCGGGGCCAAGCAACCCACTGAACCTTGAGTGGCTTGCAGACAGTTCAGGGCTACAGTTTCTTTCCAAGCAGAAACACACTTGTCAGGAGCACCAGGATGGGACGGGGCAGGTGGGGATGTGTAGTGGGCGTGGAAAGCCGAGCGGCCAGGCAGCCCAACCAATGAGGGCGGGGCGGGCGCAGAGCAGCCCCGCCCCGGTCCGCAGGGCCCCGCCCCCCTGCTCTAGAGTTGGTGGGGAGCCCTCACCCGCGCGCACTGAGTCCCAGGACTCGGGGAGGGAGAGCGGGCGCTGGCGGAGCCTCTGCGTTTCCTCCGTCCGTGAGGACACTGAACTCGAGCGCTACTGCAAGCCTCGATCCGGTCCTGCGGCCAGGATAACCTCTTCTACCTGTGTCTGCAGACAGCCCTGCGGGCCGGGGCGCCTTCTCCCTGCGCCTTCCCCAGTTCTGGGCTGCGGGGGCTTGGGGGCTGGGGGGTGGGGTGCCATCCATCTCCGCTCCTTCTGTGCGGGTCAAGCCTGCGCCCCAGAGTCCGGGGGCCATGCCCAGCGCGAGGTGCAAGATGGATAGCCAGGCGCTGCTGGCGGTCGCTCTGTGGCTCTGCGTGGAGACCCAGGTCGCCTCCGTGGGTAAGAGAGCCCACTTCCTAGGAACCAGGCTGGAGGAGCCGGGTGCGGGCGGGGAGCGGATCTAACTTGGAGTCCTGCGGTCCGAGAGTGGGAAGGGACTTGCATTTAACAACTAGGCAAACTGAGGCAGCGAGATCGGGGGTGGGGGTGGGGGTGTCCCAGATGGCTCTTAGTCAAGATCCTTTTCCACGCTTCAGGCGTTCCACTGAAGGCTCGGCTGGAGCGTGTCCTGCGGAGCCCCGGCACCCTGGGGCTCTGGGGAGGCGGGAGTAGGAAGGTGCCCTGGGCTGGCTGGCCCGAGCTGCTCCCGCAGGCGAGAACAGGCGGTGACACGTTGTGTGGCTGCGCACATCACCCCAGCCCTGTCCCGGGAAGGGAAGCCGCGAAGGGAACCTCAGGCCGGTGGCCCGATGGCAGCTCTTGCTGCCTGGCATTTCTTGTTAGATGGAATTCTCGCGCCACTTACTATTGGAAGGGTAGGCAGATGGAGGGATGCTTCCCCTGTCCAGCTCTCCTCTCAGAGAAGGGGGAACTTTGGGACTTGTCTCCATTTCTCTGACACTTTATCAAAACAACGGGGTAGATAGAGGCTTTCGTCAGAAATTCAAGCTGCATGAACTTCTGCGAGCTTGCTGCCTACTTCTAGCGCCACTTTCCCGTTCACTTAACAGGTCCCTTTCAAGATTGCAGACAAGCTTTGGATGCATAGCTCTTGTTGCCCCTGTTTTTCTTCTCTCTCTCTCTCTCTCTCTCTCTCTCTCTCTCTCTCTCTCTCCCTCCCTCCCTCTGTTTCTGTATGGCTTTCCTCTCTTCTATCCTCCTCTTCTCCCTCACTCTTTCCTCCTTCCCCCAACCTACAGTTTGTAGACCGATTTCTAGATTTCTAACCTTTGGAGGATGAGAAAGAGGAACCAGTAAAACAATTCTGTTAACACTTTGCTTGCATTAAAAGAAAAGACTCACATGTCTTTAAAAAGATTTTATAAAGATTTTTAAATTAGCATTTAATTAACTTATACAACCGAAGGGGGTTCATTATGACATCTCCACACATACATAGAATGGATCTGGCTCAACCTCTCCTCTCCTCCCACTGCACTTCTAAAGCAATTTCAACAAGTTCTATTGTTCTGTTTTCATATACTTCAATCATATTCATTCTCAAGGAATCATATGTCCTAAGAGACGCTGACATATATGGTAGTGATTATCTGGCTACTGTTATTGTATTTTCTTGATAATGATTTGGCTCATCATGGGTACTCATTTGTCCCTGCCAAGACTGGGCTTTCCTGGTTTCTGGGGGAGAGAGTGAAAATCCGGAACACATGCTTGTTCTATCTCCCACAAAGCAACGCGTTGCTTTTAAACAAGCTGGGGTGTTTCATGGTGCGCAGCACAACGGTAATCTGGTTGCCCTGAATAGAAGTTGAGCTTGCCCTCTTGGAGTGTGCAACTTGCTTAATTGGATTGGGCTATAATTGGTGCCATCAAATTTTAGAGACAGAGCCACTGTTGTTTTTCCTTCTCCTCTTTGAGCTGGAAGGGTAACAGTGCACAAATTAATTAATGTTGGTTATAAGATTTGAACATAAAAGGGCTTTTATTGAGTAGTAGCATATGTACCTCTTAGGGGCATTTCATTTAGAACTTTCGGAAGAGTAGGTCTCAAACTTGTCACTGCAAATGAATGAAGCTTAATGGAGGGAGAAGAAATCAATGTTGTTCTTTAGATGTATATCTGAAGTCATTATTGATAAGCGTGTTGAATGGATTAGTGTGGTAGAATGTGTCTCTGGAATCGTGTGGTGTCTTGGCTTCCTATGAATGGAGAACATATCTTAAAAAATTTATATAGTGAAGGTGTCTAGCGTGAGAAATGATTGCGACCATATTTTATGAGAGAACTCCAAGAATCTTTCAGAGACTGGAGTTGCAGCACAGTGAGGGAACATTTGTCTAGTGTGTGGAGGCCCTGGGTTTGATCCCTAGCAGTACAAGAAAAAGGAGGTTCTTACTTTGGTGGCAGGGTAGACATACCTTATTGAAGTTACTCATTTTACTATTGTTTCTTTTCCTCACGCAAATATACCCAATTAATAGTTTCTATCTTATTTGGATTGTTAGAAGAGTCATGTGAAGTTAGTTCCTTCAGTATATTCCTGAACTAAAGTCTCTCAGTCAACTTCCAAGGGCAATCCATTTAAATGAATTCTTTACATTTCCTTTCCTTTATTATTGCAAGACTTGCCTTTGAACAGTTTGCTTTGTTGTTTACTTGTGTCAGATAATCCTCTTTAATGCTAATTAATTGAGCAAGTCTACATAAGCCTGTAGCTGTTCAAGACTGCTCCTAGAGCCCAAATGCTGTAGGTTTGTGGGTCTAGGTGCATCATAAGATAGCAGAAAGTTGAAAAACCACTGCTGAAACATGTGACTACCGATGTCAATTAGTTTCTTAGTTTCCATGGTTCTTGAGACTATATAATTGATTAAGAAATCTAGTTATACCAGCAGTCTATTTTGCACATCTATTTGTACCTGTGGGAATATGTGTGGTCAGTTGTCCATTTGCTAACGCTTCTTCAGGAGCCACAGATTCAATGCACTTTGTTTGCTCTGGTTATTTGCTTGTGTTTTTTATCCATACTGCCTCATGTGTGCTTGTATTTGCTCATGTTCACTTAGTTGCCCAACAAAGTCAATACCAGTTTAGGTCAAGGGAATTGTGTGTTGTTAGTTTATGTTGGTTAGAAAGCTTGGTTGCTTGTTCAGCATCAATTTCTTTCTTCTCCTCTAGAGACAAGGTTCACTATTGTAGCCTAGGCTGGCCTCGAACTCAGAGTCCTGCTTCAGTTTCTTGAGTGCTGGGATTATAGTATGCATTACTAACTCTAGTAGGTCAATTACTTTTTAATCTGGTATCTTGAAGATCTTGATCTCTCTTAATGGTCTATCATAGTGGACAGTTTCTCTTTCACGCTTTTTCAACACCTGATAGTTCTTCATCTTTAGTTGACAGAGAACTCAGTTATTTTGCTATAATGTGATCCATGGTAGAGAATGTATTCCATGGTACTTTTTGGTATTGCTTCTTAAACCTCTAGGTAAAGACAGGTTTCTTGTGTGAGCTCAGAGCTGTAATTAATGTGTTGAGATTCCTCAACTGTAGTTAATTAGCATTACATTATTTTTAGTCCTACTCTCTGAGGAAAAGTGTATTAATATGTGTGTATGTGCAAATTCTATTGCTCATCCTCCCATTTTATTGTATTATCTTCTGAGCCATTTTTTCAACCTTTGCTGCTCAGTTACCAGAGGAAGTACACCAACAAATTGACAAAGGACAATGAGACAAGGTCATAGTCACTTTAACCCCTCTCAGGATACATAGATGAGCTGTATAGAACTCTCTCTAAGCAGTATTCACTAATCAGCATTTGGTCAGATGTGTACATCCTATGTTTTATAAGAAATGTCAGTGCATCCTTTCCCAAGGGACTGAGATCATCAGATGAAGGTTCATTTGGTTTCAATGTCCCATATCCTTTTGTAAGACCTTGAAGTTGGCAATGCAGGAAAACAGGAACTCCACCCTAGCACCATGAATTGCAGAACTGTTGTGTTGGTTTCTGACCATCTGCCCATTCTTCCTGTTATGACACAGCTTGTGAACTTTTACTGGGAATGGGGAAAAGTAAAATCTCAGTTTTATACAATGAATTGCTGAAGAGGCCTTTTTTTTTTTTTTTAAAGATTAGAGTATGCATTGTTTATGGAAGGTGTTTCCTATTGGGTCTAACTCTAAATTATTTAATTTGTTTCTAGGTTTGCCTAATGATTCTGTTCATCCACCTTCCCTCAGCATACAAAAAGACATCCTTACTATTATGGCTAACACAACTCTTCAAATTACTTGCAGGTAAGAATTTATTTTAGATTCACATTTCCTGTGTTAAACAATTCATGGTTTATTGAAGAGAAAATAATTTCCAATAAGGCAGAATTATAACAGTGTGATAGTAATTGTCCACAAGTAGTGAGGTTTCTAAGAACCCATGTGATAATGTCATAGTTTGCTGCTAGTTTTTCTACTATTTTTCTACATGTCCATGTACATCACACCCACATAGCACTAGCATACAATGGACAAGAAATAAATGCAGTTGAGGACATACTAATAAAGTTGAAGATTTAAGTCAATTTATTTGACTTAGAATGGCTTTTGGGCATCCTTTTAGCCCTTCATAAAAACCTCATTTCATGGTAAATTCTGAGTGTTGTAGCAATTCAATTTATCCAGGAGTTCTACTGAGTGAATGGCCTGCCTACACAGGCTTGCTCCCAGGCTCCACTTTGATGTTCTGAGATGACTATTTTCTCACTTGCCCCCAAGAGGTCATCTATTGATTTGTGATTTTACAAGAATAGGCTGTTAGCTGCTAGTGGCTAGTGGCTTATACTTATAATCCTAGCTGAGATCCGTGGGTCACAGTTCAGAGTCAGCTCAGGCAGTCATATTCAAGAGACTTTTATCTCCAACTTACCAGCAAAAAGTCAGAAGTGGAGGCATGCCTCAAGTGGTAGAGAGCCAGCTATTAGTGAAGTCATGAGACCCTGAGTTCAAACCTCACTACTAGCAAAAAAAAAAAAAAAGAAAGAAAAGAAAAGAAAAGAAGAAGGAACAGGAGGAGGAGAATGAAAAATTGGGTGTGGACAAGGATAGCCAGTAGAGTTTGGGGTTGAATGTAGTGGTCATTCATGAAAGATCAAGAGGTTTCTGAGGAACAGAGAAGGTGTTGACTCAAGACCATGTTGTCTCTCCAAATGAGGGTTGGGATCCACAGAGGTTCTTGCCTGCTTACTGCCATTGCTTTATTCTGGAAGAATCAATACCAAGTGGTAAGCAGAATAGTGAAAATCTACTTTAGGTTGTGCTATGAAAGTCCCTGTTTATGGGGGTTCACTTATTAGGGGTAGATCACCATCCCCCAGCTCTTGGGAAGAAACCCAGAAGTGCTGGTTTTTTTTTTGTTTTTGTTTTATTTTTGTTTTTAGCTTGCTAGTTCCCAGTTGATTTCCCTTTTACCTATTCTCAGAATCTAAGGCTGCTTAAAACCCACAAAGATTCTATAGTCCCTTTTGAAACTTGGTAGAAACATTTCTTAGGTTTGGAACAAGGCAGGGAGCATGTTGAAAGTGACTTCAATGATCAGCTATAACTTCATGAAAATGTCGAGCACTTTGAATGGAGGGTCAATAACATTACAGTTTTCTTGGTATTGTCTCTCTTCTTTGAGGTCTTGTAGATCCATGCTCATTAAAAGTAATCTTTTTTAATGGGATCTTTACAAAGACCAACAGACAATTATTGAGAAGTTGTAACAGCATATGACAGAATGCCATGGACTCAGGTTCAGAAGTCACTCACAGAGTCCTGAGCTTTCTACTAATTCATTTTTCTATCCCCTCTCTCCTAGCCTCATCTCTTACTCTCCTGTTTACTCTCACTCTGCTCTAGTTAATCTGACTTCCTTGCTGTTCTCCTTATACCCCAGGTGTGCCTCTGCCCGGGGCCTTTGCATTTTCTGTCCCTTCTGCCAGGAACACTAGTCTGCTCAATATACTTGATGACCGGTGCCATCAAATCCCCTCCTTCTAGCACATTCCCCCCTTCTCTGTGCGTCTTTCATCCTTTTGAACCTTCCTTTTAAGTTGCATTAACTTCTGTGGTTAGACTGAGATTTCAGTGCAGACGACAGAAGCCAGGGCTTGAGCAATATGAGGCAAATGCTCTACCATTGAGCTACACTCCTAGACCTTAAGGCATTGCTTTTGTGTGTGTGTGTGTGTGTGTTTGTGTTGGTACTGAAGCTTGAACTCAGGATCTGGGTGCTTTCCTTTAGTTCTTTCTTCAACTCAGTATTGGCACTCTACTACTTGAGCCACAGCTCTACTTCTGGCTTTTTGGTGGTTAATTGGAGATAAGAGTCTCATGGACTTTGCTGCCTGGGCTGGCTTTGAACCACAGTTCTCAGATCATAGCCTACTGAGTAGTTAGGATTACTAGACACAAGCCACTGATGCTCGGCTTCAGGCATTGCTTCTTATTTGGTCACTGCTGTGGCTTTAGTTCTAAACAATGCTCAGTCCATAGTGGATGTTTGATGAGTACTTGTTGAAGAAATGAATGTGCGAGTTTTAGAAAGTGCAGGGCTTTCTCTCCAGCAGTAACTTCTGAGGCTGACCCCACAGCATTTGGTCATCTGTTGTCACAACTTGCCAGGATTAAATTGTCTGTTGAGTCACTTACATGACTTAGAGAACTAAACCTTCCGTTGTCTTAGAAGCCAGCCCTATGGTGTGGTCCTTCACATGAATACTTTCCTGGAATTAATTTTTCAGAGGACAGAGGGACTTGGACTGGCTTTGGCCCAACACTCAGAGTGGTTCTGAGGAAAGGGTGGAGGTGACCGAGTGCAGCGACAGCATCTTCTGTAAGACACTCACCATTCCCAAAGTGGTCGGAAATGATACCGGAGCCTACAAGTGCTTCTACCGAGACACCGACGTGGCCTCTGTTGTGTATGTCTATGTTCAAGGTAAGTGGTAGAAGAGAATGCATTTCCCATGGCCACTTAACCAGTCCTAAAACACAATAGGCACAAAGAAGAATCCTGCCCAACAAAAGGGCTGCTCAAAGACAAGGGCTGTTGGCCAAACGGAATATACAAAATACTTCCTCCCCTCCCCCAGGCTTCCTCAGAAATGACTCATGGATGGTTCTGGAGGACGTCTGTCCCTGGAGGATGTCTATGGCTCAGTTAGTTGGGCTCTAATCTTTTCTCTGTGGTAAATCAGCGATCCTTCATTGGCTGTGGAGACTCACAAAAAACCTTCTGGTCTTTGAGGTGGGGTGGCGGGGGCCGGGGGCGACACCAACACCAACAACCTTGAAATCTTTGAAATCAAGGAAGATGTGGGGGGGGGGGGGAGAGTAAATTATAGAGAGGTTTCTGTGGTGAGATATGTTATCTGCAAAAGGGTGAGAGGTTTGTGAAAGAATGCATAGGAAACCAGCCAAGGACTCTGGAGGGTTTTTTTTTGTTGTTGTTTTATGTATTTTGTATAGAATCTTTCCTTTTCCTACTTACACTTAATAAAAATATTTTTTCTCATTCATTTGCAAACACTGTATTTCCAAAGGACCCTGAGAGATGACATTTCTTGTCTTTGTGACCCAGTATGGCTTGCAATCTAAAACTCACACCAGAAAGACCAACTTAAAATTCACATAATGTTACACATAGTCAGTATTTATAATATGAATTATGCTTTCTTTAATATTTTGAATGTCATACACTATTTTTTAAGCATAGTGTCGGACACTATGTTTTAAAGGCTGGAGGTGTGTCTCAAGTGGTAGAGCACTTGCCTCAAGGATCAGACCCTGAGTAAAAGCCCCCGTTTTAATGAATGAGATTACCTATAATTATACCTGTACAATTTTGAAGCGTGTATGGGCTGCCTCATATTTTGCTTGGCTATCTGACTTTTCTTATCAGCAAAGGGTGGATTTTTAGAGATATTTTATTTATCTGTTTATATGAAACTTTGCATTCCAGATGTAAGACTTACTTTTTGTTGTTGTTGTTCCCAGAAGCAAGTTTTAAGGGACAGGAATGTTATCAGTTGTGGAGATGTGCTGGCATACCTCTACTTACATGTCAGTGGTGTCATTCCAGTGCGTGGAAAAGTGGGGGTAGACCATCCCAATAACCTGTGTCTCTCTTGAATTGCACAATGGTTGGGGATGAGTTTTGCTCAGGGTATGCACAGTCCAAGACAGAATTCCATGCCCTCCTCCTTCCCTTCTCCCCCCCCCCCCTGCCCCCGTAGGATTTGAAAGAGACAAGGGCTCAGATCGTAGAGAATTTCTGGCCCCTTTTGATCTGGCAGTCTTGGGAGAGGAGGCTTTCTTAGAAGATTGCAAGGATTTCCTGCTTTTAGCCTGCCTGGAAATACTACAAGATGAACCTCTCCCATAATATCTCGTTACTTCCTTCTCCTCCAGTCAGGAAACCTGGAGACATGTGAAAATTCATTTTGCCACTTACAGTAAACATTTTATTTTGAGAGCATGGGTGGCTGTTTGGGTTCCTTTTGTTTACTTCCCTTTTAGGGCTATAGAAATAGAACGGATTTACTGAATAGCTTTAGTCTTATGTCAAAGGGTTAATTTAGCTTCCAAAGGTTCTCTCTGTAGGCAAGTTATATAATATTCCATAACATGTGGATGAAAGGTAGGCAGCATGAAGAAGTGACAATATCTGGCACTGCTTATTTCTCTTGTCGTTGCCTTGGATGCACCATTAAATTCTGCTTCCTGTTGCAGCTCAGTATTCTAAGCTGAGCTATCCAAGGTTTTGGACATGAAGTTTAACAATGGGAAAGAAAACACTAAATGTAGTATTCCCTGCAGACAGGTCTTTTAATGTCCCTCTCTACCCCGCTGCCCCCATCCCCACCTAACTTCCTTAGTCTTTTGACCCTGTTCTCTCCAGCAATGGATGGAGCCAGGAAGTGGGCTCTGGTCTCGGAAGATAATGGCTATGGCATGTGGTGGGCTAGATTGGCTGCTTTTCCGTGCTTTCCAGCTGGGAAGGAAATCAAACTTTTGCTGTTGCAGGGAATTAGCTGCTTTTCTTCCCTTTGGTTTAATTAACTCTTTCTTCACCTTTGAAAATACTCCATCAGATAGGTGGGGAATAGCCAGATGAAATGTTATCTTGTTTTATCTCTGAGATTTCTAGCATGATGCCACACCACACCATTTCTATCTTTGGGGATTTAAGTGTGTTTCCAGCAGCATGCTAACATTATAAGAATAATGATTGAGTGACAGTAAAATCTCTTTAGTTTCCTTCTCAGTCTTTGGTAGTGTGGCTTTTCAAATATTTGTTGTTGGAGATATTAATAATGGCATAATCTTTAAATGTGGTCATGAATATTGTTTTTATAAAGCCACTTCTCTGCAGTCTTCACACTCTTAAAATGCCATATAATAAATTCTCATGAGTAATTGAATTCAGAAATTATTAGTTTTCATTTAAAGATCATAATTTGTTTTCATAGTATTTTCATTAGTTGTCCAAGGAGAAGATGAATTTTTTAAAATTGCAAAACTCATTGGCTTAGTGTATAAACTTCATTTTAATTTTAAAATAAGTATGTTTCTTCATTTTGACAAAAACATAGTATTCTGTTAAAATGTGAAACTTCTTAAAATAGATTCATCTTGCTGCTGATGCTCTTTGTGAAAGAAGACCATCTCATTCTGGGAATTGTCTTTAATATTCTCTGCCTGTCTGACTTGTTCTCTCTCTCTCTCTCTTACACACAGACACACACACATGCACACACGTGTGCACCATTGGAACAGATAGATGCCTATAGACTCATTTGTGGATGCTTTTGCCTGTGAAAGACATCAGTTTCAATTACTTACTTCCTTAGCATTTATGAGCTTGAAAGATGGCTTTCTCTTATGTCAGCAACTCACTGGTGAAAGTCTTTTTTCTTCTAGATTACAGATCACCATTCATTGCTTCTGTCAGTGATCAACACGGAGTAGTGTACATCACTGAAAACAAAAACAAAACTGTGGTGATTCCATGTCGTGGGTCCGTTTCAAACCTCAATGTGTCACTTTGTGCGGTGAGTTTCATTTTTCTATCATCTCTCAAATCTGCATGATTTTGAGTGACTGTGAAAATGGGTAGCCTGTTTCCAATATCATATGCACTATAGACTGTAAAGATTCTTTAGGAAGTGTTAAAATGACAGAGCATAAAACCAGCTTGCACTGTTCAAAATAATCTATCTCCTATAATGATCACTATCATGATGTTTCTTTTGTTATCCAGAGGTACCCAGAAAAGAGATTCATTCCTGATGGAAATCGAATTTCCTGGGACAGTGAGACTGGCTTTACTATTCCCAGTTACATGATCAGCTATGCTGGCATGGTCTTCTGTGAAGCAAAAATTAATGATGAAAGTTATCAGTCTATTATGTACATCGTTGTGGTTGTAGGTAAGAAGATATTTCCTTCCTATATTGTTAATACCAGACAGGACAGAGTGGCTTTCTACATGGAGATCTGGAGATTGAGGTGTAGGGTGAAAGAAGGATATTAAAAATATATTAACTCAGGATATGGGGCAGGACAATTAATTGCATCTATTTTTTTTTACCAAGTAAATAGATGCACAATGGAGTTTTTTCTCTTTCCTTGCTGAGACCAAGGATGGAAAAGAATATTATCCTATGTGTCCATTTTATGAAAAAATTAATATAGCATTGCCTGGTTTCAGCTCTTTGAATTGGAACTATTTTCTGGAAAGTTAAGCAGTTTAGTAAAACTGACCCCATTGGCCCAGACTTTTCTACCCACTGGGCTACAACATCTTTGAGAACCCTGAAGGTAGTGATAAAAATGCCAAACTCTTGGTAGACTTTTTTCCCTCCTGAAAGCTACCAAGTATTGTTGAGGCCCTGAGGAGCAAATGATAACACATTTTGTATTGCTTAAAAAACAATTGTGCTAATTCATAGGTTTCTTTTCTGTTTCCATTTATTTCTTTTTCTATTTGCTTTCTCCAGGATACAGGATTTATGATGTGGTTCTGAGTCCTCCTCATGGAATTGAACTGTCTGTTGGAGAGAAGCTTGTCTTGAATTGTACAGCCAGAACAGAGCTAAATGTAGGGCTTGACTTCAACTGGGAGTATCCTTCTTCAAAGGTAACACTAGCAATTCAAGGCCAGACCTCTAAATTCTTTGAAAGTAAATCCCAATAAAATTTGCTTAAGAATCCTCTTGACTTGATAAAATATAAAGTCATTCGCACACACACACACACACACACACACACACACACACACACACACACACACACACAGGCTTTAGGAAGTTTGTAGACTATAAGCAGCAATCTAGAAAAAAAGATTCAGTGCTAGTAGCTCTGCCACCACACTGTGAATATCGGTTTTCTCTAGATGGTTACATCTTTCCATATTGTGTTACTTCTCTGTTTTCAACAGCCCTTGATCTACAATATTTTCCCTATAAGGAATTTTCTTTTTAAAAGGAGGCTCAAGGTACACATCTCCTGAAAAAGTGGTCATAGTGCTGTGTTTTCACAGACCATATCTATCTGATTCTCATCAAAAATTTAAAAAAATCCTAATTCACTTGCTTTCATTTATGTATCCTGAATGCAAATAGACTTGTTGCTTACAGAATGTTAAAAGTCCCTGCTACTAACATTAATTAGTGTTCATCAAGAGACAGGATTTTATTTATCTGGAAGTTATTGGATAAAGTGGTGTTGGCTTGGGAAGTTCAATTTAGTGCCTTTTTCTTTTAAGCATCAGCATCAGCATAGGAGAATTGTAAATCGCGACCTAAAACCACCACCTGGCACTGTGATGAAGAAATTTTTGAGCACCTTGACGATAGATAGTGTATCCCGGAGTGACCAAGGGTGGTACAACTGTACAGCATCCAGTGGACTAATGACCAAGAAGAACAGCACATTTGTCCGAGTCTATGGTAAGTTACGTCTGCCTCTTTGGAAATCATTCTGTGCCTGGACAAGTGAGATGACAAATTTAGGCCATCTTACTCATTTAGAAGATGCTTTTGAGAAAAGACACATGACCTAAAAGTCAAGAACATAAGCTTTAGGGTCAGGAGCTTAGGTTTAAAAAATCCCAACTTTAATTGTAACCCCTCTGTACAGTATGTTCACAAATAAAATGAAATAAAAAAAAATAAAAAATCCCAACTTTAAACTAAAATTATATACTTTCCTCAACACTAAATATTATCTTAAGTTGTTGCTGAAATTTTAATTGTTACTATACCAAGTACAGTGTTCCTCTCTCGGGTGGTTTGAACATTTCATTGTACTGTAATGCTGAAAAGCATGCTTGAATAAGTACAAACTTTGCAACTTGGGGCAATTCAGATTCAACCACTTTCTGAGGGGTTCATTCATATAAATCACCTAATGATTCACTTTCTCCGTTGTATCCATAGAAATGTCTCAGTTGCAGTAATTTGTATAGATCTATAGATCTCTTTTTATCAGCTTTAGTAAGGATTTTAGGTTTCATTGATGAGAATGCATAAGAGACAGGCAGGCTCTGGCTTATGATGTTTTAGAATTACTCAGTACTTTCTAGGGAATACTTTAAAGAAGTCAGGGCAGGAGGGAGACCAGTCAAGAGGCTAATTGCTTCCAGGAGAGTCAAAGTGGAGGTATTAAGAAGTGATCTGATTCTGGATCTTCTTTGAAGGTGTAATCAGCACGACATTCTGAGGGGTATAAGAAGAAAAGGAGTAGAAGATGATCAAGAGTAGAAGGTGATTAGCATCAACTGTTGAGAGAAGACAGAGGAAAGACGAGGATTTGGGAAACAGTATTGAATATGTCCATTTAAAGATGCCCATTACACATCCCAATTGGAATATTTAAGACACAAACCTGAAACCCAAAGAAGTCAGGGCAAGAGACACTGAGGAGGTGAGGGAACTGGTATTTTAAGCCTAAAGCTAGAATAGCATAGAGACAAATAAAGGGTTCTGACAACTGAGTGCTGGGCACAATAACTTGTGGAGAGCCTTGTGGGTGCTGAAGAGTCTCTGTGATCATTGGTGACTTAGAGAAAGCTGCACAGAAGAGGTTCCCTAGCCTGTGCGAGGACACTTAGGAAAGAGGAATGACAATGCAAAACCAAGAGAAAAGTGACGATGTGACCTCTAGGAGAAGACGATACTAGAAACAAGAAACAAAACCAAAAAGCCATTTACTGTAAGGTGACATTTACAAGCATCATTGCTTTTATTTTATTTTCTTCTAGCGAAACCTTTCGTTGCTTTTGGTAGTGGTATGGAATCTTTGGTGGAAGCCATAGTGGGAGACCGTGTCAGAATCCCTGTGAAGTACCTGGGTTACCCAACCCCTGAAATCAAATGGTAATTATGGGAAGCAAAGGCAAAGCATTGTTTCACATGAGAGCACAACTTTTGCATTGCATTGATTCCTTGGATTTCCTCCCCTAGGTATAAAAATGGAAGACCCATTGAGTCCAATTACACGATCAAAGTGGGCCATGTACTGACAATTATGGAAGCAAGTGAAAAAGACACAGGAAATTACACCATCATCCTTACCAATCCTATTTCCAAAGAAAGGCAGAGCCACATGGTCTCTGTGGTTGTGAATGGTGAGTCCATTTGATCTCCTTCCTCTCAAGCTTTTATTAGGGCTAGTACGATTAAGTCCTTCTAAGCTACCAACCTCTCATTCATTTGCCTCCTGCTGGCTTCCTTTCCCACATCATAACTGGATCAGTGCATAAAAATGGGAAAAATGATCTAAGAGACAAGAGTAGAAATGAGATATTGAATGGGGTGCCCTGGCCATGTTTCCTTAAAACACCATAGAAATAGGCAGTGTGGCAGTCAGATGCCAAATGAAAGTAGAAGGTACCAATAACCAAATTCTGGGCATTGATTGTCTACGGAGTCAGCTGTCAAGCTCTCTCTTTGTTCTTGTGGCATGGGATTGAACACCTGGTATGCAGATGTTTCAGACTCTTCACTTTGCATTTTGTGAGAAGTGTTAGTTTGATGCTGTAGTTAGTGTGTCAACTACAACTAGAGACACACAGGCAGATCCTGTCTCAGAAGGCCTTTGCACGTGGACATGGTTGGCGTGCTTAGAGTCCAAGATCTGCCTCTGAGCCTGTGAAGGAAAGAGAATAAGCTTTTGATTTAAGGATGAACTACTTTTTTTTCAAAGTGAAAGACCTAAATAAGTATTTGAGGTGGGGGAAGAAGAGTGCCATGGGTCAAGGGAATGTGGGAGAGGAAAAAGTGATATAAAACATGTCTTCATTGCAGGGCTTCTGGAAATCTTTAATATGCTAATGACTATTGCCAGTTTCCAGGGAGAGAGACAGAATATTCAAGATTTGACAAACTTATCTGATGGGAGAACTTTTTCCCTTGAGTAAATCCATTAATATCTTGCTGCAGTTTGAGAAATGCTCCTTTGTTGTGTTCCCTACTGGCACGGCACATTAAAACTTCAAGATAGTCTCTCAAGACATTAAGCCACTCCCTATATGTCCTGATACTCCTCTGTGTGTCTGCTGGACCTGGCTTCATTTCTTTCTTCAGAGAGTATTTTAAAGATAACAGGCTCTGAAGAGGTTGCTTAGAAGGATGAGTGTCCAAGGTATATGGGAAAGGGGAGAGACTGGAAAGTTAGTAAGTAGGATGAGAGAAGGAAAGGATCAAGCCATGAGAACAGCAAAATAGACATCGAATAACTCCCTTTTTAGCACTTCATGAAGTCAACAAGCATCTAATTCACCACAACATTTACTCTGTTGTATGAGGTAAATACAAAAGTGAAGTCAGGTTCTGAATGTACAAAGGAAGGTGTAAATCTGTATAGAACACATTCCTGTGGCTATTAGCCTTGACATGCTCTCTCTCTCTCTCTCTCTCTCTCTGTCTGTCTGAGAGAAGCTTGAGGTTGACAGCAGTAAAATAATAGTTTTGTGTAGGGACTTTTGAACTAAAAGAAGAGGAGGAGGAAAGAGGGAAAGAAGGAAGGGAGAAAGGAAAGGAAAGAAGAAAAGGGAAGGAAGAGGCAGAGGGAGAGTGAAGAGGTGTATTCCACAAGGACTCATGCCTTCCTTTGTATGTAGTGGTTGAGTAGTGTTTGCATTCAGAAATCAGTGTGTGGGTTTGTCTGAGGTCAAGCCACATACTAAGTGAGTGACCTTGGATTGGCTCCTTAAGTTTTTTGTTTCATTCTTTTCATATGCTAAGTGGGCATAATAAATGTGGTTGTGAAGATGAAATGCATGAATCACGATAATATCTAAAACAGTGTTTGGTGCATAATTGTAATGTCTTTATTCCAACACGAGGGAGATTAGAAGAGAGAAAGAATGACCTCTATGTGGAGGCATGAGATGTGAGGCTTGCATAACATCACTCAGTTTATTTGTTTTTATTATTATCAACTTCTTATTATTATTGGTTCTGAAATCTCTTATTTACAAGTCCAGATATTTTATTTATTTATTTTTTTTGGTCTGTTGGCCTGGGCACTGTCCCTCAGCTCAATGCTCAAGGCTAGTGTTCTAGCACTTGAGCCACAGCGCCACTTCTGGATTTTTCTGCTTACGTGGTGCTGAGGAATCGAACCCAGGGCCTCATGCATGCGAGGCAAGCACTCTACCACTGAGCCACCTTCCCAGCCCATGTCCAGATTTTTTTTTTTTTTTTCATGTCCAGATTTTTTTAGTGAAAGAAAGTGGGTGTAAAAACAAGGAGCTTTAAAATGTCAGCTCTGGTTGCTGAAAGCCTCTTCGTTCATTCCTCAAAGCCGATTGGCAATTTAGAAGTTGTCTTTCCTGTCTCCAGTCCCACCCCAGATTGGTGAGAAAGCTCTGATCTCTCCCATGGATTCCTACCAATATGGCACCACGCAAACACTGACGTGCACAGTCTATGCCAACCCTCCCCCACATCATATCTACTGGTACTGGCAGTTGGAGAAAGAGTGCTCCTACAAGTCCAGGTGAGGAGGATCATGAAGTCTGCTGCTCTTGACATTTCTGCACTCTTATAGTCATGCCATATTGCAACTCCATTCTAAGCCAAGAAGGCCCTGCCTAAAAGTGGATACTAAGTGGTGCTTGGCTTTGTATCTAGGTTGTAGCACACATCTTTAGTTGGGATATCCCATTGTGTCCCTGGCAAGCTCTTTCTTCTTAGGTGGCTCCTTGGCATATACTTCTTCCAAACAGGTTATTCATTAATTTACTAATTGTCAGCCTGTGGGTTTTTCTTCTTCTACAAATCAGCTGGAAACTAGCACACTGATCTTTCTTATCTGTGAGAAGGCCCATCTCTTAGAGGAAGTGCTGATGGATGGGAGGCAGTGATAACCTAGCCCAGCCCTCAGAGTCTCAGGCTAGGCTTATCAAGTTCTAACACAAGTCCAGACATCCTTAGGGAAAACAACAACCACCCTCACCACCCCCAAGAAGTCCACTTCCTGTTGTTGTTTTTGAAATGACCACTATTAGTTTCTGACTATTTCCTACACAAAGGCCACGGGTCCAGAGAAATGACTTTCAGAAGCCTAGTGACTTCTAAGTTTCCTTACTTTCCTTTGAACTAAATAAACTTGAATTGTCTTGTCGATCCAATTTATGAATGGAAGTTTGTTCCTAAAATAGCTGCTTCCCTCCTGTATCCTGAATGAAATCTACCTAGGACTTTTCCCCTCCTTATTGAGGCCTATTTTTAATTGGCGCCAAGTCTTGTTAAGTGGTAGGCTATCCTGAAAATTATTTCTAAGAACATAATAAACAAAGCCTGACCCATGGAACCCAATTTGAATTAAAGACAAGTCATAACCTGATGTTGCACCCTCTCTTGTAGCCATACTCTTTCAATGACAAACTCGTATACTTGTAATGAATGGAGAAATGTGGAAGATTTCCAGGGAGGAAATAAAATTGAAGTCAAGAAAAATCAATATGCCCTAATTGAAGGAAAAAACAAAGTGAGTGTCAAGTTCTTTCATTTGGAAAATTTATCTCTATTTCCCTCTCTTTGTGGAAGTATGGTCTATTAGTATATGAGGCATATTGGAGATTAATAATCAAATAGATTGGATAATAGAATACTAGCACTGTAAGTCAGTTTGAAAGCACCATTGACTCTCAGCAGTGCCCATTAGATTACTAAGAGTTTCTCAGAGAGAATAACACATGGATGCATTTTATGTCTACATCCACTGTAAGTTAATTCTGATTCTATAAACATCAGAAAAATGTGCATCAGTGCCCATTAGATTACTAAGAGTTTATCAGAGAAGAATAACACATGTATGCATTTTATGTCTACATCCACTGTAAGTTAATTCTGATTCTATAAACATCAGAAAAATGTGCATCATGTTATTGTATTAAATCACAGTATTAATCTGATGATTTCTCAAAACACTTCTTGGATATTGTGTGAGCTACATACCAAACTGATTAGAATTGTGAATTTGAGGGTGGTCAGTGTGGGAATGTGACTGAAGTGCAGTAGAGGTCACAGAAATTGTGGGGACTGCTCAGTTTTAGTCTGAATGCATATACAAGAATACAGACTAGGTTTTTTAATAACCTAAGTTTTTTCCCCCCCAGACTGTGAGTACTCTTGTCATCCAAGCTGCAAATGTTTCAGCTTTGTACAAATGTGAAGCCATCAACAGAGCTGGGAAAGGAGAGAGGGTGATCTCTTTCCACGTGACCAGTGAGTACTCTTCTCTGGAGGATGGGATGGGTCCTTCACAAAGTATGTCTGAGCTCTGAAATGCTCTTGTGTCCTTGCCATTGATATGAGTGGCATGGCCCAGTGGAAGAAGTTGGTTTATTAATGGTGATGATTTTGTGCATAAATGAAAATTGCTCAGATACCTCTTGGGCTTATGTGAAATCAGTTCATAAACCTTCACTAAAGAGAGAATGGTTTCATGCATGCTTTAAGCCCCAAGACATTCTGGAATCTCAACCATCCAGTTCGCTGTCTCCTTATAGTAAATGATCATACTATTAGAACTCTGCTTGTTTGTATTATGTAGCAGCCTGAAGGCAACAAGAAGATGATAGTGTACCATCTGAGGTAAAATCATCCTCTAACACTGGGCTTTACATTTCAGAGGGACCTGAAATTACTTTACAACCTGCTACCCAGCCCACCGAGCAGGAGCGTGTGTCTCTGTGGTGTACTGCGGACAGGACTATGTTTGAGAACCTCACATGGTACAAGCTAGGCCCTCAGGTTCTACCGACCCACACAGGAGAGCTGCTCACACCTATTTGCAAGAACTTGGATGCTCTTTGGAGACTGAATGCCACCATGTTCTCTAACAACACAAGTGATAATTTGGTTATGGAGTTCCAGAATGCAACCTTGCGGGACCAAGGAGACTATGTCTGTTCTGCTCAAGACCGGAAGACCAGGAAGAGACATTGCGTGGTCAGGCAGCTCATCATCTTAGGTAAGGGAGGCAACTCTGGATCAGGCAATTGGCATGCTGTAAATAGATCGTGTAAATAGGTGCTCTGTGAAAAGTTGTACTGCCTGGGAGCTTATGCAGTAAGCTAGTACACATTCATGCAGGGAATGCTCTGGAGGAAGAAGGAAGCTAACATTGGTGAATTGGTATGTTAAAAAAGCAAATAGCGTGATTCTGCTAAACCTCTATGATGAGCTCACTCACTAGTATGTGCAAGAAGGGGTCAGTTCTCTGCTTTGTTCTTGGACATTGATTGATGTAAGTCTACCCATTGTGGGATATCTACTGGGAGAGAAGACGGTGCCAGAAGTTCGCAGTGATGGATGGGATGAGAACACAGGCAAGCATTGGGTACTATGAGGTCTCTATGTCCATGTGCACTGGGATTGGTTTCTGTTTTGCTTCATGCTGTAGGCTCTGATCAGAGAACATACCAGTATTCAGAGGTGCTCAGTGAAATGCCTGCTGTATGGGCAGAATGATGGAGGGATGGGTTTAGGACCTAAAGGACCCATAAGGGATGTTGTACCCACTCTCCATGCCTCTGAGTGCATCCCACATGGTCCTAAGTAGCTATGTTTTTCTATTTTATATGAAGAGTGTCATAAGGTTCAGTGCATTTACACTCAGATTGTATGAGTAGTGCCTTGCTCAGGGCTTTGGCATATTTTAGGAAGTATCTGCAGACGCTAACATAAGACTTGATTCTTTAAAGACTCAGGTGATAGAAGTAAAAGTGTCCAAGTGTATTTCTGTATCTCTGGCTTTCCTGAAATCTGTCTTGGTTGTGTTTTGGTGGAAATTGGACTAGTTTTAGACTCATCAGATTCCATTATTATTTCATCTATTTACTAAGTTATAAGGAATCTGAAAAGCTGTTTGATCCCCTGAACTGTAAGTTATTTTATGTAAAAATAAGGCTAATATAGCCTGGCTATTCATTACATACAACTGAGTGAATAACAAAACGAGTATATGTGAGTTTTGTGAAAGTTATCAAATAAATACAGAGCATTCTTTCATTAAAGTCTGGCAAACTTAGCAGGAAGACCTGTTGGCTTGGACTTTTTTTTTGGGGGGGGGGCCTGGGCACTGTCCCTCAGCTCTTCAGCTCAAGGCGAGTGCTCTACCACTTGAGCCACAGCACCACTTCCGGCCTTTTTTTTTTCCTGCTTATGTGGTGCTGAGGAATTGAACCCAGGGCCTTGTGCATGCAAGGCAAGTGCTCTACCACTGAGCCACCTTCCCAGCCCTGGCTTGGACTTTTATGAGAGGACAATTTCCCCCCCGCCCCGCCCTCCCGGAATAAGATCTATAAGCGTGACCCTGAGCCTTTATTTCATGTCTTTTCAGCAGGATCACTGATGTTAATACATTAAGACATCCAATAATGTGTCAGAACTGTTCTTACTCATTTTATTTGACTTAGTGACCAACAACATTAAGGTCAGCCTAGTAAACTGATAGGTTGAAATTTACACTTTCTAGCTGTTTACAGATATGAAAACCATTCCACTAGTTATAGCTACAGTTTCTGTGCTTTCTTTTTTGTATCTGCAGAGCGCATGGCTCCCATGATCACAGGAAACCTAGAGAATCAGACGACGACTATTGGCGAGACCATCGAAGTTGCCTGTACAGCATCTGGGAACCCCCCTCCACAGATCACCTGGTTTAAAGATAATGACACACTAGTAGAAGATTCAGGTGAATAGAACCTGTCCATCTCTTTGGATGTAGAGTTTCCCTAGGGAATGTGTGATATAAACATTTATTGTATTTCTTGATTGGTTTAAAAAGGAGACACAAAGCAGTATTCATGTGAAATGTCTGACTCATTTCCTAGACTTGGAAGCAGAGTATTTGGAGTCTTCTTGAGTTTTCATAGAAGCTTCATGGGAGATCAGTCAATAGTCAAGGCTATGTGTCATGCCACTTTGGAGTTAGATAACAGCACAAAATGAAGGGCAGCTGTTGCGTTAAAAACAAAAAGCACCTGTGGCTCACGCCTGTAATCCTAGCTACCCAGGAGGCTGAGATTTGAGGATTGCGGTTCAAAGCCAGCCCGGGCAGGAAAGTTCGTGAGACTCTCACCTCCAATTAACCACCAGAAACCAGAAGTGGTGCTGTGGTTTAAGTGGTAGAGCACTTGCTTTGAGCTGAAGAGCTCAGGGACAGTGCCTAGACCCAGAATTCAAGCTCCATGACCAACCAAAAACAACAACAACAAAGTATTCCTGAAAATCTCCACAAATTGCATCATTAGAACAAAAAGCACCCTCACTGCCTTTCCTCTCTTAGGTATAATATTAAAAGACGGGAACCGTAACCTGACTATCCGCAGAGTGAGGAAGGAGGATGGAGGCCTCTACACCTGCCAGGCCTGTAATGTGCTGGGATGTGCAAGAGTGGAAACGTTTTTCATAATACAAGGTCAGTGTGATGGCATAAGCACATCAGATGACTTTTAGTTTGGATCTTTCATGTACTCACATACTTGGGTTAGATATAGTGGATGATAATATATATATGTATATACATTACATATATATGTATACATTATATATGTATATATATTACATATATATGTATATATTACACATATATATTCACCTGGGCAGGTGAATCATGGCATTTGTTATATATGGACTGCACCCTCCTACTCCCCCCCAGCCTTTGTTCTTGGGTTGTGCTACTTTCCCCTTACTTTGCTACATGTTTATAGTTAAGTTGGTTTTACTTGTATGATTCATATTTAGGGGAAAAAGGAAAACACCTTTAAGATTTGTTTCAACTCCTTCTATAAATAAAAATAATAAATGAAGTGGCAGAATAAAATGTATGTTTTATTAAGTAGTTGTACAAAGGGGCTTCAGTTTCAGAATTCAGTGATGAGTACATTGCATTTTGATCAATGTTCACCCCTTCCATTGCTCTCTCTCATCTTTCCCCATCCATCCCTGCCCTCAAGTTAGGTAGTTCAGTTTGTATGTAATGTACATTGAATAAAAAGACTGTCTTTGCTCCGTTTGTGTGCTTCCCATCTCATGGCCTCCCTCCCACCCACAGAACATGTGGGTGATTTTTAAATATTCTTTGTACAGGCTAAGTATCTCTTATCCAAAGTACTTGGAATCAGAAATGTTTCAGATATTGTTATTTTTTTCAGATTTTGGAATATTTGCATATACGTTGTAGATATTTTTGGGTATCAGACAGGAGAGTAGGTGTAAACACAAAAATTCATTTGTTTCATGTAAACCTCATTTATACAGCCTGAAGGCACTTTTATACACTATTGTTAGGATGTCTGCATTTTGATCTTACACCAATCATCACATGAAGTCCCCTGTGGAACTTTGCACATGGGCTTCACAGCAGTGCTCAACGAATTCCTGATTTTGAGCATTTGGGTTTTGGATTTTTGGACTGGGATGCTCAAGGAGTATTTTGTACACCTTCTTCAATAAGAATATAATCTTCTAACTAGAAGACACAATGAATATTATTTTACTTCTGTTGGCAACACAATTCCTGTCTATGCAGTTTTCAAGGTGGGGACAATTCTTAGCCAGGTAAGACAGATATTCTCCCATCCTTGATTCTTTGGATGGCTAGATTAAGCTATAGAAAAGATGCTTCTGTATTTACTCAGAATTTCAGTTTAATCACAAAAGTCAGTGCTATTCAATCAGTCACAAGGCTTCAGAATTTTCATTGGATGAGAGACAGTTAAGATTCCCTTGTAAACAATAAGTCATGGCCGTTTTAAAATGGGAAAATGTGTATTCCTATCTAGATTTGGAAGAAAGTATGTGTGTGTGTGTGTGTGTGTGTGTGTGTGTGTAAGAGAGATACAAAATCTAGCATTTTCTCCCTGTGGAACAGTAATTTGTGGCAGACTATTTTTCCTTAAGAAGAAATATATTTCTGTCTTTTTTCTTTCGTAACTCACCAGGGAAACAGGGAAACTAGTGTGTAGACGATGGGATGGTGTGCAAGGGGAAGAAAGCCAGGCAGGTGATAGAAGGGGCTGACGAATTTCTATGAACTCATCCTAACTTGTCTCTCAAACTCTAGCTGTTGCTCTCTGTAATAAGTCACACCTATTTGTGGAGTATTGCATCTAGACAGATTGACATGTTTACAACTCATAGGCTTATTACTATTTCATGAACTGCTGTTGGAAATGCAGACTTCAAAGGATGCAGTGGTTTTGTCATTTCTGAAGGGATTGATGTCTTAAGATGAGTCTCTGGTGCCCTGCCTCCCTCTGTCAGCTGTCTGCAACTGGTTACAAATGCCTAATTGAGCACATTGGCACAGAGATGATAGAGAATAGTAAGAGAAGGGATAGCAATTCTTTTTTTGTTGTTGTTGGTCATGGGGCTTGAACTCTGGGCTTGGGTGCTGTCCCTGCGCTCTTTAGCTCAAGGCAAGCGCTCTACTGCTTGAGCCATAGCTCCACTTCCGGTTTTCTAGTGGTCAATTGGAGATAAGAGTCTCATGGACTTTTCTGCCTGGGCTGGCTTTGAACTGTGATCCTCAGATCTCAGCCTCCTGAGTAGCTAGGATTACAGGTGTGAGCCACCAGCGCCTGACAAGGGGACAGGGATTCTTAATAAGCTTTCTAGGCTCCCAAGGATTCTTATGGGCATATTAATACATGAACTTGCTTAGCCAGTTGGATCTTGGACCTTCCTACTCTCTTGTATAAATGGACATTTAAATCTATACATATAGATAAAGAATTACTTCCCTAGGATCACCAATGAAACAATCTATTTCTAGACATCCCCAGAGCTTGCCTTGCAACTGCTAACTTATTTTTCCAGCTAATTAATTGATTGCCTTCTTGAGGACTTGAGACGGCTGTGGGCCATTCTCACAGCTTGGGCAGCAGTCGATTCACACTGCACAGTGTGAATAGACAGAGGGAGATCCTCAGTGATAATTGCTTCCTTATCATCTCTGTGCTAATCACTCTGGGTTGAAAGCCTCCTTCTGCATTTAATTTCCCCACTTGGAGCTGTCCTGTGGCTTTCCCTGACCAAGTGTTTTCTTTTCTCTTCCACACCTGCCTTTAAACTTTCATTACTGGGCCATGCCTCTTTTTCTAACACAGGCTTGCTTCTTCTCACAAGAGCAAGGGCATGGTCACCTCTTGATTGACCCAGGGACTAGGGTGAGGGTCCTCAATTGAGTAGCTTAACTTCTCTGATCTTCTGTTTTGTTATCTGAATTAATGAGGTGCTATTTTTAAAGTAATGAGTATATAGTAGGTGTGTGATTGTGAGTAGATCTCTGGTCAAAGGGCTACATTTACTTCTTTGTGTGGTTTCTTAAACAGTCCTTTTTCAAATTCTACTCATGTCATGACATTGAGTATCAGGATAGGTAAAATTAGACTTTATTTTCCCCAAACAGACTTCCTTTTTTTCTCTGTAGACCATCATCTGTTTTCTTTCCATTGAAGAATACTCTTTCTCAACACATTTGAAGGATAGACATTTGTATGTCTATCCTGAATTACTTTAGAATTTTACTGCCGGAGGTTCTTATAGTGAGTGTACTGCTGGAGAGTCTCAGAATGAGTGTTTTGTAAGCCTTAAATTTTCCATTAAGAATGCTTGGGACTCCATCTGAAGTAGGTAAGTTTGAGGTCATCTGATCCTGAAAGCTATGAGTTTCCAAATGCTGACACTCATTCAATTGTGATGTGATGCATTCAACTCACCTTTTCCAGGTGCCCAGGAAAAGACCAACTTGGAAGTCATTATTCTCGTAGGCACTGCAGTGATTGCCATGTTCTTCTGGCTACTACTTGTCATTGTTCTGCGGACCATTAAGCGGGTAACGAAATAATGTCCCTTCTGTCCCTCACATGTTGGTTTTCATGATTAATGAAAGGGGACTGGGGTTCTTTGAGATGTTTCTTCCCATTGTTATTGGCTCAATGGGCACATTTTTACTTGAATACAATAACATTCTTGCCCATTTTCTTTGGCTGGATCATGGGGCATTAATTGATAGGAGCCACTAGAGGGGAAAAGGGGTTGGACTGTCTTGTGTAATTAAGATTTTAAAAAAAAATCTGAACTCATTTGGGGCTTAAGGGTACACTGGAAGCAGGGGTTTAATAGGACTACTCTCAAGTTCCATGAGCTTTATTAGAAAATGAGATGTCACAAATGAAGCTCTTATTAAACAACAGCAATAAGTACACAAAACAACTACTAAACAACAGGGTGTATGTGACTGGAAGGGTTGATGCTTTCCAGGCCAATGGAGGGGAACTGAAGACAGGCTACTTGTCTATTGTCATGGATCCAGATGAACTGCCCTTGGATGAACATTGTGAACGCCTGCCTTATGATGCCAGCAAATGGGAATTTCCCAGAGACCGGCTAAAACTAGGTGCATTTTCAATTAATATTAATTTGGTTTTGGGTTGACCAGGCCAACTCCTCCTCTTTCATGATAACAATAATAAATCTAGTTTATTTGGATTTTTAAGCATTGTGGTTCTTAAATAATAATTTTATTTCTTGAATTTGGGTAATTTCTGATTTAATCTCTTAGGGGGAGGGTCCTTGATTAGCCACCCAAAGCAGGGCATTTGGAAAATACATGGAGAGTACATAATTAAACCCAGTCAAGGGAATGAACTGGGTTGCCATGTTAAATAGGGGGATACAACCACCATGCCCAGTTGGACTGTTTGTGTATCACTTTGGCGATGTGATAACCCAAGTCCATTTTCTGACCATTGATTCCAGGTAAACCTCTTGGCCGTGGTGCTTTTGGTCAAGTGATAGAGGCAGATGCCTTTGGAATTGACAAGGTAGCAACTTGTAAGACAGTGGCCGTCAAGATGTTGAAAGGTAAAAGCAAAATTCTATGGAAGTGTCTCTCTCCTTGCGTTTCATCCAGTTATTAGACATGATATCAAGCTTCTATTAGTGGCTCTGATCTTACATTGGACAACCAATCAAGCCTGGAGATATAATTCCTTTGTGAAAATTAGAAGCAGATTCCTGCTTTGTCACTTTATGTCCATGTTCATGGTGTGGCAAGCCTAGGTAGGAGCAGATGTCACTCCTAACTAGGAGTCTTGGCTGTCTTTCTGCACTTCTCAGCTTGCTCACACAATTGAACTTGGTAGTCCTGGGGATAGGGAAAAAGGATATCAAAGAGGAAAAGAAAAGAAGAATTTGGAATAGAGTCCTTTAAATATCAAATATTTGGGGTCCATTAAAGTAAGAATTTAATTTTGAATTTCAAAAACAGGTTTTGTACTTAGTTCTTCAGAGAATGATTCCCAAGATGAGGACACAAGTGGTTTTTTCTTTCTTGCTATTGTTTCTAACATATTTATAAGATGATTATTTTGTTTCTTCATAAGTCCCTCCCACATGGTATAACCCCTGTTTTCACTGTATTTGATGTTGGTATAATTTGGGGAGAGGAGGGGAAAAACAAATTGTTTAAATAGGGATACAGGTGGACCCATTACAACAATGAGATGTACAAAATCTATGTTGAAAAAGGAACCTTACAACTTTGGGGATGGGGAGTGTGGCCATGGAGATGGGAGGGCAGGGATGGCAGTGGAAAAAAACAAAGGAGGAGGCAACAATGCTTGATAAGAAATGTACTTATTACCTTGCTCATGTAATCGTAACCCCTTTGTACGGTATTTTCACAATAAAAAAGTTATTAAAAAAAAGAAAATGCACCCATTCTATAGGTTACAGCTAGGTTACTAGGTTACAGCTGTGTTACCCTGGGAAGGTAAGGTATACAGTTGCATGCAGTGGTGGGAGGGGAAGCAATCTTTGTAGGTTGAGGCCCACATTTATGATTTCCCTTTTTATTTTGAATCTGTAGAAGGAGCAACACACAGCGAACACCGAGCCCTCATGTCTGAACTCAAGATCCTCATTCATATTGGCCACCATCTCAATGTGGTCAATCTTCTAGGTGCCTGCACAAAGCCAGGAGGTGAGTCCCTGTGTGTATTTCTGGTTGCTTCTCTGCCAGTATTTGAGGGAAACAATGCAACTACTGTAGCTATGATTCTGAATACTTTTCAGATTCTGAAATTTCGTGGACACTACAGTTACATTGTTCTAAATCTTCCTCTAAATTAAAGACTGTCACATCACTATGGTACAATTTGTTAACTTATACAGTACTTATACAGATGAGAAAAATAAACAGCAACAATTGAAAGCAATGGACCTTAAGAAAAAGTATCCTCAGGGCCAGGTGTAATGAGGTACACCTGTTATTTTAGCTTCTCTGAAGGCAGAGGTTGGAAGATCTTTCTGAGGCTGGTTCCAGGTAAAAATGTAAAGACAAACTAAAAGGCTGGATGCATGGCTTAGTTGGTAGAGTGCTTACTTAGCACTGATCCTGGGTTCATACCCCAGTACTGCTCCCCCCAAAATAAAATCCTCAGGTAATTGCATTGGAATGAGAGTAGATAGGTTTTCTTCTGACATTTGGCTAATCCTGTGGTAGATTTTGCCTTTTGGAAAAAGAAAAGCTATAAGATAGGATCACTTTATAATATAGGATCAATTTATGTGACTCTGTTCCAATGAAAGGTCATATACAGATGTCCTCTGGGACATTTTTGGGTTGATCGATTTACTGAGCACTTAGTGAGAAACAGAAGCAAAAATATATGTTCTGTTAACATGGCGTGCCATCTGCAGGCCCTCTCATGGTGATTGTGGAATTCTGCAAGTTCGGCAACCTCTCAACCTACTTACGGGGCAAGAGGAATGAATTCATTCCCTACAAGGTACAGTGTTTCTTAAGTGCTCTTTGGCCATGTTGTCGCATGGAGGAAGACTCATTCTATCTGGTCTGCATTTGTTTTTCACTTGAGATTCGATGGGGGAACTTGTGAGGGATGTCTCACTCGCACTCTTGATCTATGTAACTCCCTCTTCTTTCCTTCTGGAGAGACCTATGCTCCCTTATGTTTTATTTTTGTGATTTAAAGTTCCTGAAGGTATCAGAGCTGGGGAGAGAACAGGGACAGCAAAGGAGGGGGAAGAACTGGGGGAAGATTCTATTCTTCCTCCTCTGAAGACAGACATGCAAGAGTACCTGTCCTAGAAGTACCTATGAGGGTACTCGAATGGGAATACATCTGAATGCAATGTGAAATGAGTCAATTATCATTTTCAGCTAATGAAGGAGCTTGGCTGTGGAAAAGAAACCCTATGATGTGTAAAACTTGTCCTCAATTTCATCTCAGATCTGCAATGTCTTGAAATTGATGTCTTTTTTTTCTTTTGGTTCTGCTTTTGTGAGTACTTCAACTGTTTCTATACTCCACTACATTTTATTCAATGAACTAGTTTATCTGCTTCTTCACAGACCAAAGGTGCACGGTTCCGTCATGGAAAAGACTATGTTGGTGAAATTTCCGTGGATCTAAAACGCCGCTTGGACAGCATCACCAGCAGCCAGAGCTCAGCCAGCTCAGGATTTGTTGAGGAGAAATCTCTCAGTGATGTGGAGGAGGAAGAAGGTACCAATCCTTGATTGCTCTGTGCTGAAGTATGTGCTTGTGAGGATGGACCAGTGATCAGGGCATGGCAAGGACTTGGTCATGGGATAAAAAGATATTTATTCCTGGTCGGCTTCTACTCAGTCTCTTTAAAAGTGAAATGTGGTCTGCTCTGAAGTAGGAAGGCCAAACAAGGCTATTCTGAGAAATCTAGGGAGCCGAATAGGGAGAGCAGTTGACAATAATCAAACCAACAGTCTTCAAATACTGGACCAGGATTTATTGGCAGGAAAGACTCCAGGCCATATTCTGGAAGGGAGAGGAGGCTGTCTGAAACTTGATTAGCTTCCCATTGCTTTTAGTGCTTCAACCTCCTTTGTACTGTTCATCAGCACAACTGGACCCTTTCAGCGAACCTTCCCTGGGACAGTTTAGGAGCCATCCTTTGTCTCTATTCCATTCTTCCCTCATCTTCTAACCAGCCTTCATCTTCACAAGCAGATTTGTCTGCTTCTGTTAAGTTCCCAAAGATCTTAGTGGTCTTTTATGGGTGGTTGGATCTGTGGCCTCAGCAATCTCTACGACTTGAGTTAGTTCCAGGATACCCTGAATGACTGCTTTCCTTGGAAGGCGAAGGGACAGCGCTATGGACATAGAGATGAAGCTTCTTGACATCTGGCTCTACCTTCTCTTCTCTTCTCTTCTCTTCTCTTCTCTTCTCTTCTCTTCTCTTCTCTTCTCTTCTCTTCTCTTCTCTTCTCTTCTCTTCCCTAGAGAAGAAACCCACGTATTCAGATAGAACAGTCTATAGCTAGAACTTATATGTAACTTCTTTCCTTTAGAAGATGAAGTAGGCACCATGAGGCTGGCGCTGGCCGGAGGAGCATGGGGAGGTTGTGCAGGCCTTATGTAATGGCACCCACATCTAGTGGAGTGATCTCTACTCTGATTCTCCTTGCTCACACAAAGGTGGCCATTGATCTGAAAACCCAAGGGAGTAAGGTGGTGTTGGGAATAGAAAGGGCCTAGAATGATAAGCTCAGTATTTTGCTTTATTTTTTATAAATGAAGGTTTCATGAATGGTTCCCATAGAGCCTTTGAGCTCGAAGTATAAAAATTCATTGAGTAAAAAGTCTTGTAGCCTTTTATTACTTTTAGCCTTTTTATTACTTGTAGCCTTTTATTATTATTATTACAACTAAGTTTGTATTTATTCTGATTTTTGTATCCAGGCAAGAGACCATAAGTCTTATCTTACCAGACCAAAGTTAGTGGATCATTTTGAAATACTCATCAGTGTCTTAGTATTTATTTGTACCACTTGCCCTGAAGTAAATATTACCCATTTACATAAATTCATCTTTCTTTCATGTTCTTGTTATCTTGCATTCATATCCTTGGAGGGAAAATAAAATATCCTTGCTGGTCAAATTTAATGTATTTGCAGCACTTTTAAGTTTGGAAGTGACAGAAGTAAATCTTGTCCTGGTATTTTTAGTTACCCATTGTAGAGTGTAGTTTGACCTGTGGTCTTTGTCTCAAGACAAAGCCCGGAGAGAGAAAAAGATTTGATGGCCCTGAATATTGTTGTTTTATTTTTAGCGTTCTTGATATGAAACTGTTGTTAGTCCTTTTGGATACATGAAAAAAAAGGAATAAAAACCAGTAACAGCTTAAAACAGTAAATTTGAAAGTCTTCTTTCTCTGTTCTCCATTCTGGGTTTACCCAGTTCAATTTGCTTAAAATGGAAAAGCCAGTATTTCTCTTAAAAAAAGAAATCAGTATGATGAAGGCTAATCATATTAGGCTTTGGAAAATGCACAGATGAGAGAGGCACTTTCCTCTCTGCTTCTCCTTCCTGAAATTTTCTCTGGCAGACTTAGAATACTAATGTACTGACTATGGGCATATTCATCCGTGTTCTCTTGCCTCTTCTGACAGTGTCTGAGGACTTGTACAAGGACTTTCTGACCTTGGAACACCTCATCTGTTACAGTTTCCAAGTGGCCAAGGGGATGGAGTTCTTGGCATCAAGGAAGGTAAGACAAATCACGGAGGTATGAGCAGATCACAGACTTGGTGTCCAGCACCAGCCTGGTACCTGTTTGAAATGGAAATTCAGAGATTTCTAGGGCTTTGGAAGAGCTCTCCTAGTGAGGTTTTTTTTTCTTCTAATGAAAGGATTTCATGAACTTAATTTGTATAAAGAATACTCAGCTAGCTAGCATTGCTAAATACCAGGCAGTATAAACATTGCTGTGCTGACCACCAAGCAAAGCTCTCCATTCTTATGGCCTTATTTCTGGTGAATGAAACAAATAATAAACAACATAAACAAGCAACATACATAGCAGGTTAGATGAAGGTATACTCCATGGGGAAAATAAATCAGGAAGGGCTTGTAGAGTATACGGAAGTGGCATGTTTGCATGCACATGTGCTTCTACTGGTGTGTATTATAATTTTAAACAAGGTGGGGGAGAAAAACTTACTGAGAATATGACATTTAAGCAATAACCTAGAGGAGGTAGTGTGGGGTGGGGGGTGGGGACTGAGCCTTGTAACTATCTTGGTGTAGGAGAGTCTATTTTTAATTTATTTTATATTCATTACCACCCATCAAAAAGTATTTGTTAGTAGTATAATTAGAAAGCCGGAAAGACAGGCTTCAGATGAGAATGATTACAAGAACTAAAATTAGAAAGTAGGCCAAACAAAGGCAGAGGTGGAGACGTGACAAGTTACAAATATTACAAAGGTTGTAAACATCATAGTCATGGAGGGAAGGTAAGCTGAATACGTTTACATTAAGCAAGAAAGACTCAAATTAATATTCAGGAAAAGTTTTCTGTTGACACAATACATGTGTAGCAGCCTATTAGGAAAAGGGACACTTAAATGTTTTTTTAGTTATGAATTACAATGAAATCTCTAGCTATTTGATTTTGTTGTTGTTGGTATCACCATCATCATTATTATTTTAAGGCCAGAACTCATCATTGAATAGGATTCCTTTTGGAGTCTAGGAAGGGATTGGGATGGTGGTTAGAAGCTGGGAACCCTTAAGTTTTTCTTGTATCTACCAGGTGATTTCTCAAATGCTACCTAGTTGTCAGATTAAGAAAGAAAAGCTCTTCAGTACAAGGGAAAATAGAAGTACTGTATGTTACATGGACCTGCTAATTTTGGTTAATCATACTAGTCAATGTTCTTCTGAGTATGTTTCATCCATAAGGGAGTACTCTGCAGACTGGGGTGTCAGGTGGTTGGATGGGGTCAGGAAAATGCCTGCCCTCCATGATAATCTCTGCACTCACACAGAGTCTCATCTAAAATGTATCAAGTTTTTATTCATTCCCCATGCTCTATGAGACTCTTATTCTCACAGATTTATCTGTGGTGCTTCAATGAGGATTTTGGTCGTAATTATGATAGCTGCTTAGTAGATGAAGTTAGATGGACTTAGAAGACAGAGAGAAAGAACTTGAGGAGTTGAAGAGAAGGTTTAAAGCTAAGGTGAATTCCATTTTACCTTCTACTGTGCTAGAGAACCAGCTCGATGTGTGTTAGGCTGGCATTGCCTTCCAAGGCCTTTATGGTAATAACTAACACTTTGGAAATAGTGTGAGCTGCTCTGGGAACCACCATCATAGCCAGCCCACTTCCAGTTTCCAATGGATTAGGAAAGTATAAAAAAGATCCGCAGCCAAGGAGAGCACCTTGTTTCTAATTTCTGTGCATTCACTCAAGAGAACTCCATTCTGGGGACTCCTTAAAATAACGGTATTTTTTTAAACCAAATTTGGTGCCAGATAAAAGGGATGTGTGGATGTGATCAGAAACACATTGTAAAATATGACACCATCATCATACCCTGACTTAATCATTTAACTGAAAAGGCTGGGGCTCTTTATGAAATAAGCAGATGTGTGTCTCCACAAAGCTCACGGACATTTTTCCTGAAGTGTTGATGAAAGATACTTGTTAATCAGTTGCTTCTGTGATGTGGGATTTTTTTCTGAAGCATGAGATCACAACAGATGTAAAAGCGATCAGCTGTGTAGGGACCTAATACACATATTGTTGTTTCGGTAGTGCATCCACAGAGACCTGGCAGCACGAAACATCCTCTTGTCGGAGAAGAATGTGGTTAAAATCTGTGACTTTGGCCTGGCTCGGGATATTTATAAAGACCCAGATTATGTGAGAAAAGGAGATGTAAGTTTCTAAGATGAACACTGTAACCTATTAAATTGAAGAATTGGAACTTTTCATAGCAGATTGAAGAACATGTGTTGAGGGGCAAAGAAAAAATTTTTTTCTTTGCTAATTTGGGTTCTGATTGTTGTCTGTCATCCTCCCAGGCCCGTTTGCCTTTGAAATGGATGGCCCCGGAAACCATCTTTGACCGAGTGTACACAATTCAGAGTGATGTGTGGTCCTTTGGTGTTTTGCTCTGGGAAATATTTTCCTTAGGTAAGTCTCTTTGTCTCTCTGTCCAGACTTTGCCTAAGATGATAGAGGTTCATGATCCTAATACATCTTTTCCTCTGTTGTCTTTTTACTTCTATCAAGTGAAATTTCTTGAAAGGTTTGGATTTCAAAATCTACAAGTAAAAACACAGAAGATATAGTACATAGATGATGAGGCTATTCAAGAATCGAATTCAGGGCTTTATAGAAGAGAAAAACAAACCACATAAGCCCTCTTTCTTGATTTGCTCTAGGTGCTTCTCCATATCCTGGGGTAAAGATTGATGAAGAATTTTGTCGACGATTGAAAGAAGGGACTAGAATGAGGGCTCCTGACTACACCACACCAGAAATGTAAGACTTTAAAAAACATCACTTAGTTCTTGTTTTCTCTCTTTGCTTCCAAATTTTTTTATGCCTAGAGGAATTTTCTTTATACAGATCTCCTTCATAGTCTAGTTTGTGTCCTTCTTTTCCCTTGGAACCTTTCTTAATAATCTCAAGCCACTGAGGTCTTGGAACAGCCACTGCTTCTTGAAATCTGAGTACTTTATTAGCCATGCCAAATAGTTTTTATTACATTCTTGTGTGTGTGTGTGTGTGTGTGTGTGTGTGTGTGTGTGTGTGTGTGTGATATTTTCTTTTCTATACACATAGGGACCTCTGAGTATCTTACACAGTTTTGCATCTCTATTTAGCATCTCAGCTCAGGATGGACTCTCGCTAAATCCTTGCCATTCAAGAGCTTATTTGAGCATCAGATCCTGAAGAAAAGAGGCAGTTGATGCAATCTCTACTTTGCTTCTTTAGGTACCAGACCATGCTTGATTGCTGGCATGAAGAGCCCAATCAAAGACCCACATTTTCAGAACTGGTGGAACATTTGGGAAATCTCCTACAAGCAAATGCTCAGCAGGTTTGTAAACCTCTGTTTGAGAAGCTTCTACAAAAATAACTTCATTGTAAGGATTTTGCTTCTGTCTAAACCTCCTCATAGCTCCATGCTACATCTTCTTAGCCACTGAAGAAGGAGTTTTGTTCTTCCAAATCTGAGTAATAGTGCTTTTTAAAAGCTGTAATTATCCTTTTAGAGAGTGAGCCCCTAATCCATAGCCTAGGAACAAATAACTTTTATTCCAACTACTTATCTTTTGTTATATCTCCAAATGCTGTTCTAACTTTACAAAAAAATGGGTTGAACTTTAGAATGTCAATGATGGAATGAATTTTCAATAATTTTAAATAAATTTTACAGGCAAAAATACATCCAAAGTGTGGATGATAGATTTCTTTGTCCCCCACTGGTAAAGTCCCAGACCTTCTCTCATGCTTCAACTGTATGATGTTAGACTTATGGCCTTTTAGAAACTTTTAGAAAGTTAGTTCATCTCCAATCAACAGCTCTTACTACAAACAGAAGCCAATATCCTCTTTCTTTTCTTTTGAACAGCTAGAGGACAATGGGTCAAATCTGTTTTCATCCATTAAAAACTTCCAAACATTTTAATATATCCGATTACCCTTTCTTTTGAGAAATAACATTAAAATGTGCTACTTTTTTTTCCTCAGTAGCCATTCTCCTACCCATTTGTAGTGCTTTCCTTTTTAGAATATGGTCCATTTTTCTATTGCCTTGGAATGTAGAGGTTAAAATGTATGCTAGGCTCTGGAGAAGCTGGTGTGTGTAGAGAGGAGTGGGTGGAGAAACAATTGCTCAGCTCTGCATAGCTCTGTGTGTTTTGTCATTATCTCTGTTACCATAGCTTGGGTTGTCTTGTTGGTCACTACCATTCTCTGTGGTCCTTTTACCCATCTTGTTTTTATTTAGTGCCTTTGATATACCTTCATAGACACAGGCCTGGCAAGTGCCCTTTTGCTTTTGTCAGTGTTTTAACACTAACTCAAAGACTCCCATTCAGATATAGGAAATAAGGCACCCCTAGCCAATAGCTTCCAGGCCCTTTGTTTTCACGAGAAGGCCCTTGAAGGGCTGAAGCCGTAACAATGGCGCTGGGTGTTTATTGTTTCAGGATGGCAAAGACTACATTGTTCTTCCAATATCAGAGACTCTGAGCATGGAAGAGGATTCTGGACTCTCTCTGCCTACCTCACCTGTTTCCTGTATGGAGGAAGAGGAAGTGTGCGACCCCAAATTCCATTATGATAACACAGCAGGAATCAGGTAGTGTAAATGGCCAACATCCCTTCAGGGGGGACATCAAGGCCATCTGGGGAGGGGGAAGGAAGATATTTTATAAGGCTGCTGTGCTCCACTTCCCTGTAATTCAAGTCCTGATACTCTTTTAACTGGAGTGTTCCCTGAAGAAGGTCTGGGTAGGTGAGCCGCCTCCCATCTGTGACCCATGTTGCTGCCACAGCTCTGCCTTTAGGAATCCCAAGCCCCACAGCTGTAAATAGCTAGAATGCCACAGTTCGTTAATCTCCACAAAAAGAAGGCAATTTCACCAAGGCATCTGTATTAAAATTATCCCCATGTATGCTTTTATTAATGTGAATTAAATGGCTTAGGAAAGATTCAGAAAAGAAGAGTTCTGTACATATATGAGAACACACTTATGGCTCTCTGACAAAGAAACATCACGCTATGGTGCAGTGTTCTGAATTAGAGTGGACGCTACATCCTCTCTCCAGTCGGATTTATTTGCATAACGGGACGTCTGGGCTTATTTCAAACATTTGTACAACAGTCCTGTCCTGGTTTGCAAAGGATTGTGCAGACAGCTTTCTCTTTTTCTCCCACCTCCCCCTACCAGGCACCTGGGCATTAGAAAAGAGTTGATAAGGTTTTCTACAATAGATTATTAAAATTGATTTTCTTAAGCCTGGGACTGCTTCACTTTGCTATGGGTGTTGTCCTAGTGGTTAATAGTATGGGTCCAGACTGGCCTTCTGAATGTCCTGAGACTACAGAGAGGAGCAAAGAGCTTGCTTTTGTGTAAAGCCCTTGGCATGGTTGTCACAACACAGAGGCTGAGGAGGCAGCACTAGGGACAGATAGTTTGTCCCATGAATCCTGCAGGGCAGTAGGAACTGTGAGGAAGGAGAAGAGAGAAAGCTTAGAAAGGTTAGATACCAACAAGTGAGTTGTCCATTCTGGTGTGTGTGTGTGTGTGTGTGTGTGTGTGTGCGTGCGTGCGCATGCACGCACGTATGCATGCTTATTGATATAGGGTCTAGCTCTTTGTTTTTTCACTCAAGACTAGCACTATACTATTTGAGCAACACCTCCATTTCTGGCTTTGTAGTGGTTACTTGGAGATAAGAGTCTCACAGACTTTTGTGCCTAGGTTGGCTTCAAACCATGATCCCTAGATCTCAACCTGCCGAGTAGTTAGGATTACAGGAGTGAGCCATTGGTGCCCAGATAACCATTCCATTTATATCAAGAGCATTTGGCATCTTTCAAAGAAGTTTTCCATATATTACCAGATTTTGCACACATGAGAACTTTTAAAAATTACGATCCATTTTGGATGCAGATGTTGAACCCCAGGCTCAGCTCAATTACCTGGGAACCACACAATAGTATGATTAAAGAGCTAGACATTAGAGGCAAGTACATCTGGGTGAGATCTCTAGTCCTACCTTTTCACTACTTTGTGGTGTGTCAAAAGCCATCTAACTTTTCCCTCAGTTTCTTTATCTGTGAAATGAGGTAAGGCCACGGGTGCTCTTTGCAAAAGCTTGTTTGGAGAAATGCATAACATAATGCGTTTCTTAGTGTCTGGCACTTGAAAGCACTTAATAAAGAATAGCTATTTAGTGAGTTGTTTACAGTCACAACCCTGAGATCAACTCAGGTTCTTTATTGTCTAACTCAGTGATATTTTCCCCTGGTCCCAGGAGGGGTCTGGGATAGCAAGAATCACGACATGGGATTCCCATGTTTACAGAATCCAAGTTCAGTTTCCTCTGGCTTTCTGTGTCCTACCATGATAGTATTACCTACTCCTTAATCAGAGAGATGTTCGGTGGTGTATGATATTCCCTATGTTTTGTGACCAAGTTGTGTGAAGCTCCCACTTGGAGCCTCTTGGTATGTTGGGTGCTTTTTCAGATGGTGTTGAGCAGGAGATGAAATCCTGTTTGCATAATGGAAGTGCCAGAGTGATAATGGGTCTAAAAAGGGACTGTTAGCATTTATCCCCAGAAACGTGGACAAATGTGACACCATGTTTCCAGCTCTGGCCTAGCTCTGGTTTTCTGTCTGTGAGTTCTGAGTTGATCTTTCTAGTCTATTTCCTCTTTTAGCTACCCATAAGTAGAAAAAAATTAGATTAGAATTTTTTATCCTCCTTCTCCCTGCCCCAACTCCCTGCTTCTTTTCTCCTGATTGCCTTGAAATCATCTGTGTTATAGGAAATGCTGTAGTGTGGCATCTATACACTGTGTGCTTCGTTGTGGGGTTCTCAAGAGGTTCAGTTTCTCTGGGGAGAATGGAAAGAGCCTGTGGGACTCTCTGAGGCCTTGTTCTATCCCCTCACATTTCCAGCCAAGTAGGAAAGCTGAGGCTTTCTCGCTTGCTTTCTCCTAATTCTCAACTCCATCGTATTATAACTAGAGCTGGACAAAAACATGATGGTGGGAGCCAACTTCATGATTTGTTGTCCCTTAAAACTATTTTTAACATATTTGTTCACTATTTATTTAGAGAAGAGGCTGAGAAGTGTCTGTGTGTGTGTGAGGGGGTGGAGGAGAAGGACCACTATGTCTAGACTTAGCTTTGTTTCTAATTTCCCCTGTGGGTCAACGCTGGCCCCAAGTTTGCATGCTTCCTGCAACAAAGTATATACTCTTTGGACTCATCTCTCATCAAGGGCAGCTTGGGGACCATCTGCGGTTGCTCTGTCATTTCCTCTGGGGAGTGTTGCCTCCCACTCTGTGCACCTTATCAAAGATTCCTTGGCATTTTTTTTTCTTCCAGAGAAAGCAAAGCCCCTGATATATAAGTTTTCCTCATTTTGGTAAATTGCTAGTGATGATTAAATACCCATGGTAAAGGATGCCTGGGACAGCCTGATGGATAGATGACCATGAATTTGGATCTCCTATTAGTTGGTTTGAAAGAGGACTATCCTTTCTCCACCCTGCCCGCCACATGGTCAGTACACCCGTGGGAATGAGGAGAGCACTGTGCGCTTCCTATGAGCTCAACAGAGCCTGGAGCAATCCTGCCTGCTGCTCACTTCTTTCCTTCCTGATACTCTTCCAAGGGAGTGGAGTCAGGGAAGAAAACCCCACATGGGCTCTAAGAGTCTGTAAACCTGCCTTTGAGCCGCACTTCTCCCCTTTCTTAGCCACCTCCTCCACCCCCGCAACACACACACAGTCTTAGATTCCTCATTTCCAAATGGGAAATAAGAAGATCTGTTTTGTAGTCTTGTAAGGAGCAGATGCAACAATATCTGTGAAAATGACTTGTCAGCTGTGAGGGACTGTGCCTGTTGTTTTTTTTTTTAATTACTGGGCTTAGAATTCAAAGAGTTGTTCTTTCTAAGGCAGCTTCATTACTGCCCAAACCCACGGACTCTGCTGGGTTCTGTACCTAGATGTCTGAAACTACTTTTTTGTTTGTTTGGTTGTTGTTGGTCATGGGGCCTGAACCTTGGGCCTGGGCGCTGTCCCTCAGCTCTTCAGCGCAAGGCTAGTGCTCTACCACTTGAGCCACTTCTGGCCTTTTCTGTTTATGTGGTGCTGAGGAATCAAACCCAGGGGCTCATGCATGCAGAGCAAGCATTGTAACACTGAGCTACCTTCCCAGCCCCCTGAAACTATTTCTTTTATTTAATTAAGCTGCCCTTCTTTCATAAATGTAATATTTCCTACTTCCTCCTTGGTCTCCCTGCCTCTGGGCTTACCCTTCTCAATCCAGAATCAGTTTTCTTTTTTCTCTGTCTCAATCTCTGTCTCTCTCTCTCTGTCTCTCTCCCTCCCCCTTCCTCTTTCTCTGTAGTATTGGGATTTCAACTCAAGGCCTCACTCTTATTAAACAGGCTTTCTCTCTATCTCTTGGGCCATGCTTCTAGGCCTTTTGCTTTAGTATGTTTTTTATACAGGGTCTCATGCTTTTGTCTGGCTTTCCCTCAGATTTGGATCTTCTTCTCTTCACAACCTCCACCCTAAGTAGCTGGGATTATAGGTGTGAGCCATGGTACCTGGCCCAGAATCAATCTTACCTTACTTTGTCAATGACAGGTCTCCCATGGATTCCCATTGCCCTCCGTGTAACAATCCCAAATTCTAGCTGTGTGATTGTAGACAAACAATTTCACTGTTCGGTGCCTCAATTTCCTCTTCTGAAAAGTTGGTCTGATAATACACCCTTCCCCTGAATGGGCCACTGTGAATAGTCCAAGAGATGAGGCTTGGGGTGAATAGTCCAAGAGATGAGGCTTGGAGAAGCATTCAGCACAGTGCTTCGCAGAGTCTCAGGAAGGGCTTCCTGAATGAGTGAATGAAGGACTGACCATACCACCAGCAGTTTTTGACACACACTACTTCTAGGGACTGGATTTACTTGTCTTGTTCCCTGCATTTTATGTCCTCTCTCTTGTGGGGACTCCTGAGTGAGGATGTTTCCCATAAATCTCATTCTTACCACTGGGCAATGAGGAATTAACTCTTTCGGGAAGAGACCTTCAGCTTCCATTCTTCTCCTTTGGCTGAGATGTTTGCAACTTGCTTCAGAAAGCTGCTTGCCTGGAAAGTCCACTGGGATAAAAGTAAAGAATGTGTTTACTATCTCTGTGGGCCTTTCCTATGAGGACTTCCCTTATCTCCACTTGCCTCCCACAGTTTTTGATAGGGTTACAGGTCTCCCTGAAGGCCGAGTGACAGCCAGGGAAGGCATAACCTCCAGGGAATAGGTGATGCATTGCTTGACACATCTCATTATTTGAACCCCTGAAGGAAATGGATACTCTTTGAAATTCAAGAGTGGAAAAACAAGCTTTGATTGACAGAACATTGCTCTTGGTAAAGACACCAGTTCCAGGGTTTGCCATGATTTCCTTGTAAACTAGGGAGAGGTAGCTTTTACCAGTGTTAAAAATGATTTGATATTTATTAGTGTGTATTGATTATATAAAGCTAGGACTCATGATATTTGCGTAAGTGCCTCTAATGTACATTGATAGGACTTACCAGTACCTTTTATTTTTAAAGGGAGGGGGCAACTGAGGCATAGAACTATTCATGACTTTCTCTCAAGTTTGTGTAATCAGTGTACCTAACATCCTTGGGTATCAGTGTTGTCAGAAACACACAAGCTATCTTGAAACTCTTTTTTTGATACTCTTAAGCCATTTCTATTTCCTGATTCAGATAGGCAACTAAGGGAGCTAAAAATAGGGGTGAGTGAGACTCAGTCCACCCTACTTTCTGCACTTAGACTACATGTGGAAGGAAGAAGCTGTCTTTAGATCATGGCTGACTATGTGACCTTTAGGAAGACCTGTGATGTTTCCTCTGCCCAGATTGTTCCGTGAGCATTTATTTTCCAGAGCAACTTTCTTTGGGGATGGCTGGAAAGATGTGAACCACCTGGTAATATGTCCAGAGCACAGAGAAGGAATGGCCTGCAGTGGGAGGCCAGGCTGAAGGCGGTTGATTGCTTAGTCTGCTGTTGTCTCTAGTCCAACACTGGACCTCAGAAGCACAATTCAAAGGAACAGAGTCTTCTGAGTTATATTATACTTTCAAATGGACTTTTACAGGAAATTAAGCCTTCAGTATGTGCTTAGCAAAGAAAGATGTTTTTAAAAGTTATTTTTCTTTTTCCAGAGGATATTTTGAAGGTTGTTATTAAACTTGTGGTTGAAAGATAATGAACTTAGGTATCATTTGCGGTATCTGCAACCAAATATACCACCACTCAAATATAAATATTTGTTCTTTCGCAGTCAGTATCTGCAGAACAGTAAGCGAAAGAGCCGGCCAGTGAGCGTAAAAACATTTGAAGATATCCCACTGGAAGAACCAGAAGTCAAAGTAATCCCAGATGTAAGTACATCTTTTAAAAATAGTCTTAGAAATAATACTAAGGATGAAACACTATCTGGATAAATATTAGCCTAAGCATTTGAGTCTTGGAGCTTCATTATAATGCTATCCTTGAGACTACGTGCATCGTGGAGACATTATGGAGAAGGAACTTTGGGTTTTCCATAAGAAAAGTGCCTGGTCCAAAGTTCAGTAGAGTTTAGCATCATATCCAATCTCACTAATTGGCAGCATAGTAAAGAGAAGGCTAGATGCTGGCATCCTGAGTTACTTTCTATGTTTTCTCTTCTCCTTGGTCTCACTCTACTTCTAGGAAACAGTTGTTTCCTTTTATGGCATATACAATTTCTATCTCTGATAGCTTTACCTTTCTTGGTAGGAAGTTGGCCTGTATTATCTGCTAAATGGGCTAAGAAATGAGTTTAATTAAATAACTGCTCAGTGCATACTCTCAATCAATGGCGACATCTCACTATCTCTTTAAAAGGACAACCAGACAGACAGTGGCATGGTTCTTGCATCAGAAGAACTGAAAACTTTGGAAGACAGAACCAAATTAGCTCCATCTTTTGGGTAAGATTTGTGTATGTGTGTATGGGGGGGGAGGACAATTTTTCATAGGACCTTTAGGAAGGAACTTAGGACTTTTAATGTAAGTTCAGTTTTACTTTTCATGTTTGATGGCTGGTGAAATTAGCAACCTTAAATTAGCAACCCAATAAAGGGCTGAATCAGTGAAATGACAAATGTAAAAAAATTCTACAGTAAATTTGAGGATTTAGTCAATTTCTATGAACAGATTCATGACTACTAGGGAATTTCTGAATGAATTTATTATTACCATGTTTCTATGGCTCTGGTATTATAGAACTCATTACCAAGATGATTGATTAGTAATATCTCTGTGGACTCAGAAAAATTTTCAAACCAGTACACAAATGGATGCATCTGCCCTAAGAAGTATGGCATATAAATAGATATAGGTTTATTTACTTAAAACTTTAAATGTCATTGTTTAAATCATTAAGTATTTGATCATGCAGAAAGTTGAATTTGTTTTTGAGGGGCTGGGAATATGGCTTAGTGGTAGAGTGCTTGCCTAGCATGCATGAAACCCTGGGTTCGATTCCTCAGTACCATATAAACAGAAAAATCCAGAAGTGGTGCTGTGGCTCAAGTGGTAGAGTGTTATCCTTAAGCAAAAGAAGCTCAGGGACAGTGCCCAGACCCTGAGTTCAAGGCCCAGAACCAGACAAAAAAAAGGTTTTGAATGGAACCTCCCCTGCATGGGGCAACAAAAATTGTCTTTTGCTTTTAAAAGGTGCACATTATTTTAACACAAAAAATACTGAACATTTCTATATAAGAACAATAGGGGTGGGCACTAGTGGCTCACATCTGTAATCTTAGCAATTCAGGAAGCTGAGATCTAAGGATCGTGATTCAAAGTCAGCCTAGGCAGAAAAGTTCATGAGATACTTAGTTCCAATTAGCCAGCAAAAAACTAGACGTGGAGGTCTGACTCAAGTGGTAGAGAACCAACCTTGAGTCTGTAAGTGGGTAGGGAGAAGGAACTAAGCAAGAACATAAGGCCGAGTTCAAGCCTCAGGACCAGCTCACAAAGAAAAATCGTAATAGGTATAGGGTAAAACTTGTTATATATTTGCAAGAGGATTTCTTTTTGGCAAGAATAGAAAAGATTTTTTTCAATCTGTAATGTAGTTGTTATAAGAAATGGGAATGAATATCCATGGGTTTTTGAGTGATGCTTATGCTTATGTGATAATAATAGCAACAAGAATAGTGTGCTATTATGTGATTTTATTTTTTTAAGGCTTGACAAGAAAATTTGAAAACCACTCAGATGGTTCATTATCTATTCAAAACATGTTTATTTTGTAACTACTAAGTGTCAGTTGTCAAACCACTGTTTAGGACACTTTTATCCAGGTGCTGGTGGCTCCCGCCTGTAATCTTGGCTACTCAGGAAGCAGAGATCTGAGGATCGCAGTTCAAAGCCAGCCCAGACAGCAAAGGCCGTGAGGCTCTTATCTCCAATAAACCACTCAGAAAACTGGAAGTGGCACTGTGGCTCAAGTGGTAGAGTGCTAGCCTTGAGCTGAAGAGCTGAGGGACAGCGCCCAGGCCCAGAGTTCAAGCCCCATGACTGGCAAAAAAAAGGAAAGAAAAGAAAAAAAAGACATTTTTAAACAACTTTTATGAGGTTGGATTAAAAGAATACCTATTTCCAGTTCTCTGAGAAGGCTTTTAAGCTATAGAGGAACACAGAGTTATTAAAATCATATGTGTGTGAGTGTGTGTGTGTGTATGTGTGTGTGAGAGCGAGAGAGAGAGAGAGAGAGAAAGAGAAAGAGAAAGAGAGAAAGAGAAAGAAAGAGAGAGAGGTCTAGAGCTTGAACTCAAGGCTTGGATGCCATCCTTGGGCTCTTTTGCTCAAGGCTAGTGCTTTACCATTTAAAATATAGCTTCACTCTGGCTTTTTGGTGACTAATTGGAGCTAAGAGTCTCATGAACTTTCCTCTTAGGGCTGGCTTTGAACCACGATCCTCAGATTTTGGCATCCTGCTAGCTAAGATTACAGGCATGAGCCTGTAATCCTGATTTTTTGGTCAGTTTTTTACTAGGAATAACTTGAATAAAACATATATTAAGGAGAAAAGAAACCTTAGAGAAATTGCAAAGACTGAGGTCTTAGATTAACATGGCCGACATGGGTAAGCCTCGGCACGATTACTTTGTCACTGAAAACATTCTCTGGCTGTTGCTGAGTGATGGGTCCTCAGTCCATCCCAGGAATGTGCTTTTGATGGGTAAAAAACAGTTTTTGACATATCTGGTTTGATTGCACACTGCTTCCAGCTATTCGAGCTGAAAGTTGCTCAAGGACTTTATTAACACTATGCATGCCCCGTAGTCTCCTAATCAACGGAGTGGAGGAAACACAAGTGAGCTTTCAAAGCACCCCGATTTTCTTTAATATCATGAAAGGGGCCTATTGGCTCCTATCATTGTATACAAACTTGTCAGTCAGCAAGGCCATAAAAATGTTCCATTGGTCAGAGACGCTGCATAGCTCAGCAGCACTGGCCTTTCATCTCACCCCAGGCTTGAAAGACTTGGACCTGAATAAGAGGACTTATCTCCAACTACTAATTCATGCTCGTACCTGAAAATAGACCTTGTCTGCGTAAATTTTGATATGCTGATTAACAACTGGGAGAGAGCAGAGCTGTTGTCTCCAGGGAGATTACAGCCCACATGAAGCCAGCAATGGGGTTAGGGTAAGAAGCCAAAGAAATGTCTTCGGTCCTCCAGCTCATTTGGTTGTGTTTCTCCCACAGTGGACTGATGCCCAGCAAAAGCAGGGAGTCTGTTGCATCGGAAGGCTCCAACCAGACAAGTGGCTACCAATCCGGGTATCACTCTGATGACACAGACACCACTGTGTACTCCAGTGAGGAGGCCGAACTTTTAAAGCTGGTAGAGTCTGCTGTGCAAGTTGGAAGCCCGGGCCAGAACCTCCAGTCTGACCTGGGGACCACTCTGAGTGTCTCCCCTGCTTAAAATGAAGCAGCCATCACACACATACCTTACTCCTGAAAAATCACACGAGGTGCTGCTGCTCAGATTTTCAAGTGCTGATCTTTCCACCACCAGGAAGTAGCTACATTTGAATTTCATTTCAGGAAAAAAGAAAAGAAAAGAATAGGAAAAGGACCTTGGACAGTCGGGGAGCTATACCTCTAAGCACTTCCTGAGAAGATGCTTGTGACCCAAGAATGTGTTTGTGTCTCCTTCCACAGTTGACCTTGTTCTGTCTTTGATTCATTGAAAAACCATGTAGAAGGCACCCTGCGGCAGGTCTTGCTCCGAGTTAGAACAAAAGATGGTCAAGAAACGGTTCCCCCAGTCCCCAAGCCATAGCCATCCCTAGGGAGTGGACAGTTCTTTAAAACGAAATGATAAACCAGGCAGTGGAAGTGCTTTGGGTGTTAAAGATGGGCAGGATTTGTAGGGCCGAGTCCACCTGAAAGGCTCTGTTGAAAGTGTGGTTTGGGACTGATCGTAAGGTAGACGCCAGCCCGTTTGGCAAAAGCACTGGAGCCTGGCTGTGCATTGTGTTAGGTCTGGTGGAGATGGTTAGGAAATACAAAAGCTGCAGATGAAGATCCTGCTTTTAGAAGGTTGCGTGCTCTCCCCAGTTGGGCTAAAGGCAAGGTCCCTGTGCTGTTTCCGACTCCTAATGAGAGTTCCTTCCGGACTCTTACGTGGCCCCTGGACCAGCTCCAGGAAGGAAATGATGTTGCTCTGGCTGCCTTGTCTCCCAGGCTGATCCTTTATTCAGAACACCACAAAGAAATGACATTGGGCTTGAGGTTCCCTGTGGTGTTGAAGAGTCCAGGCTGGACAGAGCGACTTTTGGGTTTTCTGGGTGAATACCCACTTATCTGTCTCCACGGGAGATGTTTGAGACTGAACGCAGTGGATTCAGAGTTAAGCTATGGGGTGAAGTTTCAAGAAGAATTCATCTTTTTTTCTTTTTTCTTTCCATGATCCCCAAGCATTCTCACACCCAGTTCATCAGTACTTTAGTTTGTGGCTTCTACCCTCCAGATAACCTGATTTGGTTTGTTTACTCTCTACTAGCCAGATTTCAGATTCCCTTATAGCCAAAATTGTAACAACATCTATTGTATTGTTTAGACTTTTAACATGTAAAGCTGTTTTCTACTGATTTTTACCCTTCTTTTTTTTTTTTTAAAGGAAATGTATTTTTTTGTTTGGTACCATAGTGTGAAACGCTGGAAACAATGACTATAAAACATGCTATGGCACATATATTTATAGTCAGTTATGTAGAACAAATGTAATATATTAAAACCTTATATTATATATAATGAACTTTGTACTATTCACATTTGTATCAGTATTATGTAGCATAACGAAGATTGTAATGCTCGCAACAACTGATGTCATTTTATTAAAAAAAAAACAAAAAATTTAAAGAACTCTTTTCCAAGGTTGTATTAATCTGCCCATCACTTCTTTCATTACTAAACTGGAGTAGGAGGGAATAGATGTAATATGGTTGTCCTTTTTACTTATTTTTTTATCCTTATAGAGTATTTTCATAAACTGTTCACATACTTCATAAGCCAATAAACATATTCATAGTAAAATAGATGATAGAATAACATTATCAAAACTATTTTGAGGAGAATAATTTCTGGTTTGAGATTACTTCTTCTTGCTCTTTTCCATTATGCAAGTAATTCACACACAAACACGTTTGTGTCCTATCCTAAGTGCTATTAAGGTATTCAGGAGATTCTGTGGTCTTCTAGGGAAGGTCATGTCTATGAGAATACTGATTCAACTTCAGGAGGTAAGGGATGATTGAGACAGACAGCCAGACCTCAGAGAGGCACAGGGCAGACACACTGTCTCTGGTAATGTTTCATGCTCTTTCATAGTTAAAATATCATACCCATTACACTTTTTTTCTGTGTTCCAGTACTGAGAATTGAACTCAGAGCCTTGCACTCTTGCTTGGCTTTCTCGTTTAAGGTTGGTGCTCTACCCTTTGAACTGCACTTCTACTTTTAGCTTGTTGTGGGTAATTGGAGATAAGAATCTCACAGATTTGTCTGCCTGAATTAGCTTCAAACCATGAGCCTTAGATCTCAGCCTCCTGGGTAGGTAGGATTTATAGGCATGAGCTCCTAGACCCAACAACCATTATTAAAATGTTTAGTGATTACCTTTTCCTGAACTGAGAAAGCATTGTTATGTAACACATCATTGATATCAAGAAGTAGTCTTATTGTTTGTGTTCATTTTTTAAAAATATCAGACTTTCAAATGCTTGTCTAGTCAAATTTTATTTGTTTTTGTTTTAAATTGGCTCCTTAGTTATTTTATCCTAAGACATGTTCTCCAATAACTCTTTACTCTAAATTTTCTTCTTTGATGGCATCTAAACTTATTTGGGATTTATCTTCATATATGGAGTGAGATAGGATCTGCCTTGACTGTTTTCCCAACCAAATCATCAATTGTGACAACTCTATTTATAAATTACACCTCTTTCCCAGAAATCAGAATTGTCTGCCTGGTACCATTTTTCAGTCCTTATCATTTCACTAAGACATTCTGCACAACTTTCATGATAGTGGAATAGAAGGCTGTGTGTGTGGTTCCTGGGGACATCATTTAACCAAGCCCAAGGAACTGGTTGGGATAAGGGTCTTCTGCCAAACTTTGTTAAACTCAAGGTAGGATTGGCTCTGCAGAGTTACTCATCTCTCCCTGTCCACAGCTTCTTCCAGAAAAATGAGGTGTTTCAGGATGGAAAGACCTGGTAGGAAAACAAGCTTTTCTTCACTTTTTAATAAAGGGTTGTTTCTCCTGAGTGGCTCCTGGCATGGTTTCCAATGTCAAGACTTTACATTCAGCTACAGCTTCACACTTTTTAAAGCAAAGCTTCTTGTACGTTGGGCAGGACAAAGAAGAGGAGTGGTTTGGGCCTTTCTCTTCTCTCTGCCTTACGTCATGCATGTCTTGTTCAGAGGTTTTTTTTTTTCCTTTTTCTTTTTCTTTTTAATTCTCACCTTACTTGCCCTGTATTGAAGGGGGAAAAATGTGGCTTTTAAAAGTGCTTCCTGCATGGATGTACTTTCAAAGTGTTAATTGGAGGCATTTGGTGTATTTGAGAGCAAGATCGAAGCCACAGCTTCGGTGGCCTCCTGCCTTCCTTTGCTCTCTTTCCTCCTCCTGCCTCTCAAAGCTTCTGTCTCTCTCTGCCTTCTTTTTCTCTACCCTCTAACCTTTCTCTTCACTGCAGGGTAACCCTGGAAGCCTTTCTCCTCCACAGCATGACAGGAGAGGGGAGCATGTTGGGAGGTTCAAGTCAATGACCCTTAAATTAGATTCCCCTATCATTGCCCATTCCATTATCCTTGGCAATGAAGGACAGAAAAAATGTAAAAACTGCAACGTAAGACTGCAATTTTGTAGTTTCTAACTGAATCCAGTTTCCCCTTGTCTCCTTAGCTTGTCTGTCTCTCTTTCTCTGACTTGGATATTCATCACATGTAATAAAATATAAGGGAATTCAGAAAGCTTAAAAAAGCAAGCAGAGTTTACTACACAAGCGTGGACACTTGCATGTCCCCTTTGCAGCATTCCCTTAGGGGCGGGGTGCATGTCAGTGCATTCTTGGATTAGTCCCTAACCATAGCTCAAAACGGGAACTAGCCTGTTTCTGATGAAATTGTATGTTAAGTGAAATCTCCTCCATGAGAAGGGTTTAGGCATAAGTAATAAAAATCTATACAGATTTTTTTTTCAAAGCAATCTGTAGTCCAAATTCTAGGAAAGGCCATAGAACGCTTTTAAGTGAGAAAGACTTTAAAATGATAAAAATTGTTTGCTCATATTTTGACTGGAATGGAATGGGGTAGTAGAATCTGGGAGGAGCAACTCAGAGAAAACTTTCATAAGCTTTCATAACTTCAGGCCTGAAGTTCTGGATCTAAAGAGGTGGAACATACCAGTCCAGCAGAAGTCTGACTCAGAGATAAGGGGTCTGCCTTAGGAAGGATTACATGGAATGTACTGATAAGACAAGGGCTGTAGGAAACTGACTGACACTCAGTAAACTTCAGCTCCAGCCCATCAAATTGTACCTGAGCTGCTTTTTCTAAAATATTTTTTTAAAGTCTTGTCTTTAAGTAGTGTACAAAGGGGTTTCAATTCAAAGTGTCAGCTTGCAAGTGGAATACATCTTGATCAACGTCATCCCTTCTATCATTCTCCTCCCTCTCTCCCAACCCCACCCATCCCCTCATTTACCTGGGTCCATTGTTACATAGGTACATTGAATATTCATTATGACTGCATTTACTCACCCTTCCCCTCTCTATTCATGTGTTCACCCCCATCCCCAATGACGCGTATTTCAACTTCCTAGTATCATTGTGTTAAACTATAAGTTATTGAAAGGAGTTATACCCTTGGGATCCTCCCCTGGATATACTATATTTTAGACAATATTTTATGTGTGTGCATATATATGTGTACATATACATATAACCCTGTATATGTTTTCATATGTTTATAATTTTTTATCTAACTTCCATGTAGGAGAGAACACATGTTTCCTGTGTCACTCTGAACCTGACTTACTCCTATACTTTGTATAACATAGGATTTTCATGACAGTTTTTGATGCCTCTAAGACAATGCCAAATTTGGTGATTTTACTAAATATTTTTTAAGGCTAGATATAAAAGAATGAAGACAAAATAGGTGGCTTTATGTGTTTTCTTTTTATCTTAGTCTGACCTATTGCTTACACCAAATACTTTAGAACATGTAATCAGTGTACTTACCCCAACTGGTTGACAGCATAATCTCATACTTTCATTGAGGGAAGCTTTTAACTTTTAGAAAAAGGGCAGAGAGTAGAAACTGGCATTTGCACTAGTTTTTTCCAGCTTTGTTCTGTTTGTCCCTTTTTTTCCCTAGGAAGTAATACTTCTGGGGTTGTATTATGCTACCCTCCGTTACTGTAACTGACTACCACAAACAGGTATTTACAAAGAAGAGTAGTCTATATAGCTTCCAGAAAGCTGGCAAGTCTAATATGAAAGTGCTGGCTTCTAGTGAAGACCTTCTTGTTACATCGCAATATGATGGAAGATATCACACATTGAAAGAGCAAGTGGGCTGCTGGTCTACCAGCATCTGTCTTCCACTTCCTATGTAGCCATGAAGGCCACCATAGGGTCCTCTATTACCTTCCTAAAGTCTCAACTCTCCTTAATATATGACTCTGGGGATTACATTTTTTAACACATGAACTTTGGAGAAATATATTAAAACATAGCAGAGGAATAAAAAGAAGGAAGCTTAAATTTTTAGCTAAAGGTACTAACTCTTGGGCTCACAGGACATTAGACAAGAACTAACTCATCCTCTAAGCTAATGCTTAGAGAGAGGTTTAATAGAACCATGGAATCTTGTTAAGCCAAAATAACATATCCTGATAAAAGAGGCTAACATCATTTCATGTTTGACTCATTCACACAGAGAGTATATAACTGGGAATAGAAGTCCAGACAAGGCAGAGAATTCAGACTCATTGTAAGATCAACAACAATATCCTATATTCATTTTCCAGGCTATACAGGAAGCTGGTGTTCAATGACCTGGCAGATAGTGGGTAAAAAACAAGGCTTCCCACTGAAGTCAAGTGTCAGAAGCTCAGCTCTTATTTCTGAACTTCAAATAAGCAATTGTTTGTTCATATTTGAGTGTATCTATTAAGTGCTTACAATGTGACAGATATTCTTTCTAAAAGTATATTAATATTAACTCTTGTAATAAAGACCCTAAAGGAACATCTAAGTGTCACAGTGTGAATTGGGTGGGTGAGGGCAGGGTCTGCAAGAGGGCTCTCAGGCAATGGTCTCCACAAGTGTTGTTGAGAATTAGGTATATGCTGGACACCTACAGGTCGGTAGTGGTTAAAATTAGTTTCTTAGGCAGGTGCCTATGTCTCATTCCTATAATCCTGGATGAGGATCGTGGGTTGTGGTTCACAGCCAGCCCAGTCGGGAAAGTCCATGAGACTCTTATCTCCAATTTAGCACCCAAAATACCAGACACAGTGAAGCTGTGTCTCAAGTGGCAGATCATTAGCTTTGAGTAAAAAAAAAAAAAAAGCCCAGAGATAGCACCTTAGCCCTGAGTTCAAGCCCCAGGATTGGCACCAAAAAGAAATAAATAGGTTAAGGATTGCCCACAGAATCATAGTGGAGAAGAACTCTACTCTTACTCTAGTACGCTCTGCATCTTCATAGTCTCACCTTTGTGGATTGAGCAGAGTCTCTTATTGGCTCATTCTAGGCTGTGTTCAGAAACTGTTTTAGGCATTGTATTACATAGATTTATCATGTAAGTCATCTAATCTTATTTGAGACTCAAGAAGCACCTGGGAGGAATGAGTTAAGAGCTGGGTTTTATTTTCATTTTTGTTTATTTGGCTGTAGGCTAAGAAAATTAGGCTTTGCTGTATCTAGTTCACCTTGTTGCAAATTTGCATGGGACTTGTAAAGCAAGAAGAGAGTCTGACAATGCTTTGGAAGAGTTCCATGTTGGCAGGGACTGAAGAGCACA